GGGCCTGTTGTTGCTGTTGTTGGTGTTGCTGCTGATACTTCGCCCGCCGGTGTGTGTTCCAACGGTTGCGTTTCGTACATTTCCTGGTGCTCGGCCACGGTTTTCTTTGGCTCTGCCACCCAGTTCATGAGAATTCGTCTGGTTTGGGAGCTCATATAGAGGCTGAGCATACAGCTCTGTCGGACGGGTCTCCGAGTCAAGCTGCTGGATTGGCATTGCGGCGTATGTTGACTGGGGAGAACTATATGGCTGTGATGCTGGTGGGGAGTTTGATGTGATAGGAGCATACTTCTGATCCCAGGCGTAACCATCATACTGCGCCATTTGGTAGTTGTGATACTGAGGAGCAATGTTGTTGTAGTGAACCATCGATGGGTTTTGGGGGTGAGGGACACCGTATGATGGCGCAGGGGTGGTGGGAGCAATCGTTGAGCCGTCGTCCGTGTGCTGTTGGGGCGGGTGTTCGAATCCCTCGTGCTTCTTACGCTTCAGCAACACGATAACTGCAATGAGCACTCCAACAGCAATGACGCCAAGTGATACACCCACTCCGATCCCAGCTTTAGCACCGGTGGAGAGACCCTCGTTTGGCACATCCGATTGTTCAGAAACAGGGGATTCCGTGGTGGTAGGTCCAGCGGGAGTGGGGTCCGTGGTGGTTTGTTCGGCGGGGGGCTCAGGCACATTTGACCATGCCTTCCAAGATTCGTTTTCGTACTTGACTTGGACGAGCTTTCCCTTCGCCATATAGTAGAGGTGCACCAGACTGGATGAAAAGTCGAAAGCAACACCGACGCTGGCGTTGGGCTCATCTGCCTCGGGCCAGAATGATTCGGTCTGGTTCTCTCGGATACTCCAGAAATAGTTTGTGTTTCCGATCTGATGGATCTTCTTATCGGTGCCAATGTACCAGATGAAACGTGTGTAGTTCCTGTCGATGCTGATCCCCATTCCCTTGGTGGCGGCATCATAAGCAGGCAAGGTGAAGTTGACTGGTGCCGTTGCATTGATTGAAATTTCGGTCTTGTTCGTCTTGCTGGTGATCACATCGGTTTCATTTTCCAAGGCTTGGGGTAGCGTGGCTGTTACATTTGGTCAGCATCAAAACTCGACAGATGAAGGAAGGTAGATACATACACCTCCACCAAGTCCCAGCACTATTCCATCTTGTAACCCCAATATTGCTCAAGTCCCTGGTAGATACAACCGTGATGTTCTCCTTTCCAGAGTGGGCAGCCCCAAGAGCGGGTACAGTGTTGACATCTTTGCTGACCATGCCCTTGTACAACCATTGGCCGTCGTCTCTCGTATAACCAAGTTGGGCAACCTGGCCATCCTTATTGTGATAAAACAGCCGATATCCTCCCTAGGTTTTGTTAGCGTGAACTGTTGAGTATCAACGGCCTAGGGAAACGAACCTCTTCACCCAGGAGCAAAGAAGCCAATCCGGTGTTTTGATGAACGCTAGGCGATGGCTTGCTGATGATCCAGTTCCCCTTGCTTTCAAAGAGCCCGGTAGTCATGTTGCAGTGGAACAGACCGTTGGCAATCTCATATCTTTCGGTCAGATAGTAGATCGAGGCACTGCAATCTTGCTGTTAGCATCAACCTCTTGCTAACAACGGCAGGCATTTACCTACGCTGTGAATTCGTTCGACCAGTACCCCGAGCCAGCCAGAGGCGTGTCGTTCTTGGGCTTGTATGTAAGGGAGAAGACACTCCCGTCGGTGTAAGAGTATTTTGGGTTGTCAAAGAGGTTGCATCTGCTGTATCGGATGAGTCCAGTTGTCTCGTTCTGGACAATCACTTGAGGCCCGACGCCGTTCCACCAAGCTGCTACGCGTGCCTGTGCCGGTGAGATGGCAGCCCCAAGTAGAAGCAGTGATGATAGCAATGACGCCATCTCGAAGAAGAATATGAATAGTTAGAAAGGCCCGTTGCCGGCTCGCAATTTCCAATCTCGAACTTGGCTTTAATGCCCGCTCTTCCACTTGCCCAACGCCCAATGCTGGTGCTAGGAAGAGCAGTGCAAGAATGAGGAAAGGATATGGGAGATCTTGACACCTCCTAGTGCTGCTGTCAGACCCGACCTGATGATCGCCAATAGATGCTGAGAAAAACGAGAGACAATCAGTAGGCGCAACAACTAGGGCGAGAGGCAAAAAGAGAGAAAAATCAGCAAAGACGTGAGATGATGGACCTGGTGAGGGTGGCCTAGGGAGATACGGGCCCTTCCCCTCCCGGTGTCCAGACCGGGGACCATACCGAGGCCTCACTCGACCAGAGCGGGTTGTGACCCTGGGTAGACCACATGGAGCTGGTATCTGTGACCTTTGTCATCATGACATTCCCTTGTCCTTGTTTTCCTTCCACCCGAAGATCTGCAAAGCATACCAAGAGCGCGTGAGCTTTTGGTGCTGACATTGGCGATGCTAGGTAGAGGAGCCAGTTTTGATATGCTCGTTTGGGCAACTTTGTCGTTCTTGGTCATCACTGCCTGGTTCCGATTGGCTTGCTCCCCTGCAAGGCCAATTTTTAGGTCCACATCACTAATCTGCGGCACAGTTGCCCCTGCAGCAGCCGCAATGCAGGTCGTCTCTTATTGTAACGACGGCTGACTGTCGTTCTGCGGCGAGGTCCAATCTTGGATCCCTTCGGTGGGATCTCCGAGAGCAAGAAGTCTATTTCGACGAACATTATGGCTTGCGCAAGACAGCAGAAATGGTGCGAAGAAATCTTCCCCTCAGCACTCACCCCTCTCCGAATATTAAAGCCCAAAAGGCGCCGATAGATAGTTTCATAAGACCCAAGGCAGCACGTATTCACAACCCCTCTAGTCCCAATTCAGGCCACTAACAGAGTTTAAAGCTCACGACCCCCGTCTGCCACGAGCTTGTTTCCCACTGAACCCCGCAGAGACTGAGATTGCCGTGGACGCTACGCAGTTGTATCGGCTACCTAGCCCAAAAGCGCACCCTCGTATCCTCTCACTCACAGTCAGCCTCACCTCACGTCTTCAAAACCGCAATGCTCAGGTACCAAGATCTTGAACCAAATCAGGCATCCAAGAGCAGAGCGTCAACACCTCAGTCTTTATGCCTTCCATCGTCTCGGATATCGAATTTCATTATCCCTACCAGACAACTCACCAGCATCATCGAGTATCGTTCCGATCAACACTCACAACCCATTCTCACCCGTCAGCTTACATACACTCAACGCTTCAACCCCCTTGCCAAAACCCATCGTATATCTTCGCCCTCTCATTGGTCCCCACCGTCCCCATCCCAAAGACTAAGATGTTCCACTAACATCTGTCGGGCACATATTCGCACAACTTCAGATAGCACCTTAACCTCCAGACCCCACAGCCCACTCGCCTCCAGTCCTCGCAGCAGCCTGAAAATCGGCCATCCTAGCAAGCAAGCAAACGGCCACCCCTGCCCACCCCTGCTGGAACTTGAAGGTTGAAATTAGCAATTGATTCATATCTCTCACTGGTGCTTACTGAGCACCCATCATAAGGATCAAAGCTCATCACATTTGCAAACGGATGAGGGAAAAACACTTCCTCGTGTCAGCTGCCGCGGGTGGTGTTAGCAATGGGCAATGCCGCATTGTGGCTACCTAGCAAAAGACAGACTGCTGCTGGGAATGAGGGCCTTTGAGTACAGTCAATAGTCCTTGAAAAATACTCAGCAGGCCTTCAAAGATACTCGACAGGTCTCAGACACACCTCAATATCCCTCACATAACACATTGATAGGCCTCAAAGGATAGTTAAGAGACATGTTGACTATCTTACAGCCCTTGACATTTTGTCGTAATGTCTATATTTTGTCCTCCTTACGCCTGTCCTCCTCCCCCAATTTGGCCAATACTGCCACCATAGAAGCTTGAGTTTCCTGTAAGATTCTCAGGGCCTTCAGATTTTGCCCGGCCACAGAGCGCCATTCCTCCAGCAGCTTGTAGTTCTCCTGGAGCCGGGTTTTGAGCTTGTTTAGGGCTTCGAAGTGTGGGTCAAACTCTTTCAGAAAAAGAGCGACGGAGTTGTCCGTTTCATCTCGAACATTTCTCCAAACCATGCCCCCAATCTTGTGGAAGAATTTCTCAAGATCGTCAAGGGCACTCTCAATGCCGTTGACGATTTCCCCCCTTGTCTGGCCCAACTCGCCAACATCGTTTGTCAGTTGCTCCGTAGAATTTCTTAACTCCTCACTGTGACTTCTCAGCTCCTCTCTGGCATTTCGGGACTCGCCAGACAGGTTCTCAAGCTGTCCGGTCTCGAGCTTGGCAGCCTCGCCCATACAAGTGTCGAGCTTAGTCAAGAGGGTGCTTTCCAACTCGGAACACTCTCCGCGGAGCTTGTCAATCATGCTGCGGTACTTGTTCCATCTGCTTAGCAGCGCCTTGTAGATTTTGAAGGTCAGATCCCCAAAATCGAAACATGAAAACCCCATGGCGGTCAGTTTCTTCTGGACAGCTGGTAGACCCTCTCCATATGGATGACAGTACTGCGAGGCCAACAACTCGGCCCTGGTGAGCGGGCAAGACTTCTGGCGCTCCCCGGAATCGTATCTCTCCCTGATAATGCGTTGGAAGCGCTCGATGACTTTGTTGCTAGCCCAAGTCACGGTTGCACCGCCGGATGTGATTTTCGCGATCACTTCAACAACGTCCTTGAAGAGGGCTGGGTAGTCTCCCAACTGATAACGCGCGCGCCTGACAGCAAGGCCGACGTCAACGGTTGCGTTCTTGTCAAGATCATCGTCATTTAGGATTCCTTGTGGCATGGGGCTCTCTGTGCCGGGAAAGTCGTCGGGGTTGATGGTCGGAATGTCAGGATTGCCATCAGATTCAGTATTTCGGTTTGCCTCGTCTCTGTCATTTTGGTCTGGTGTGGTCGAGGTCGAGGTGCCTGGGCGGCTGGCTTCCATGGGAAGAGGGCCTCCGGAAGGAACAAGGCCGGCTTCCTTGCTGTCGCCGCTCTTTCGGACGAGGTCGGGTTGAACGGGACGCATCTTGAATGCGAAAAGGTGGTGCCTGTCCACGTTAGTTCTGGAACACCAAATATTCCTCTTTAAACATGCTGTTAGCTTACCAAATTTGTGTGTGAAAACAGGTCTTCAGCGCCGCTGTAGCGGCCTCGGTGGTGGAATTTTGTCAAAAATAGGAAGGCCATCTAGAAAGTCGCTCTCAGAAATATTTTGGCATTCAGGCGACTTTTGAGTACCAGGCTCCATTAATTACGTAGTTGAGGTAGCTGCCCTGGCAAGATATGGCAAGACACTCCTTCGTTCTTGCTCTTATTGCGAGGAGTTGCGTCTGCAATGTCACTCATCTTATCGATGACCACACAGCCGAGGTGTGTTAACAGTATCTATATATAACTGATTTGGTAAAAACTAATGTCTGATAACTAACGTTCTCCATCATGACGACTTGAAAGATCTTTTCTCTTTGTTACAATCAATAAGAGTTCCGGGCTTCAGCATCTGGGTGTCCATGCGCTAGCATCGTTCACAAACACGGTTGTTCAATGCTCAAGCATACTTGCAATTTTCTTGGGGGTTCTAATTCCCCAGACAACTAAATGAGCATTCTGTCTTTCGATATCTTGCTGAGAGAACCTCGAAAATCACGGCACCAACCTCTCCCACTATGGACGCCTTAGTCTACTCCCCATCCTCCACCGTGACCTTCAGATCCTTGACCTTGAGAACCACATTCTCCTCATCCTCCTTCTCAGCAGCAGCAACTCTGCTGTCCTGAGATGAGCCGGGTGAACTCTCCTTGCTAACAGCGACCTCCTTCTTAGGAGTGCTATCATGGCCAGATTTGCCATCCTCCAATGCATGCAACTCGTCCTTTTTAATCTCGGCCTCGGTCTCCTCCATATCCTTCTCGGTCCCCTTCATGTGCTTCTCGGTCTCCTCCACATCCTTCTCGCCCCAAGCCTGCAGAACTTCCTCCGGAATGACTCCATCATCATCTCCATAGATCTGTACATCCTCATTCCTGTACGCCTCCCCAAGCAAAGCAACATTCTCCAGCCAGTTGAGAACGCTATGATGTGTCTCAATAAGCATCAGCTCAGTCATATTCGCCTCGCCAGCGCTGAAAGCAGGGCAACCAAAGGAGGTAAACCCAAGAGCACCGGGGTTGCCAAAAGACCCGGCAATAGGGTTGTCAAGGGGTGTGTGGTGGATGGCATAGGCGCGAGCTCTCTGTAACACCAGCATTGTCAGCATTCCTATCCTCCTCTCAGTACAAAAACCTCTTACCTCTTGCATAAACTGTTTGAACCCCTCACACTTGAACTCATCCGAGTGATAAAACCCTCCCAACACTACCATCGCCCCCATCATCGTCCCAAACTTCTTCCAGACCTCATCATCGTTTAGATATTTCTCCACCTCCTCTGCCGAATTGCCCACAGCAATAATATCCAACTTGGCGTCCTTCCCAACCAACTTGTCTACCACCTCCTCAAAAACACACTTGACGTGCTCCGCAGTGGTAATATTCTTGGGGATCCCATTTCTGGCCTTGTCGTAGGCGCGACCAAGGTGAACCGCGCTGGTCATGGGAATGTAATGGCGGTCCACAGGCGTCAACCCCCTCTTGCCCTCAGGCCACCACCACAACTCACTAGGGTTGGCAATGATGATTCCCGGGGGCGTAGGGTCAGTCGAGGAAGAGGGTTGCTTCTTCAAGGCCTGGACAAGGTTGAGGATCGAGCCCTTGGTGATGCCACCTTTGCCACCCAGGACACGGTGGGCGAGGACACCGAACTGCTGGTTGTCCTCCCCAACAATGAGAACAACTCGAGAGCGCTCGGGAAGGTCGGGACTGATGCGAATAGGGACATAAGGGTCAATGGGCTTGGTTCCCACGGGCAGACGGAGGGAAGCGAGTGACTCGGCATCGAGGCGAGAGTGAATCACATTGCCGATGGCTTCTGCAATGGATGTTAGTCATGTGAGCTCAGAAACGGGAGAAGGAGGCGTCTGACCATTGTAGGCAAAACGGCGGCGGTCGTTGTAGCGCTCGTTCTTGGTGAGGAAATAGTGGAAGTAGTAGTCGGCATTTTCGAGAGAGCGGATCTCATCATCTTCGTTGATGAAGTAGCTATATATGGTCATTAGTTTGGTTGAGCGATCCAAAAGATCAAGTCCAGGGGATTGTCACGAACCCGAGCTCAGAGATGTTCGCTGGAAAAATGGGATCGGCCGGGAGGCCAGACCAGCGGCGACGGAACATCGTTGTTCGAAGTGAGTGAGAAAGAAAGGCTGCGACTTAGTACCGGAGAGGAAGTCGAAGAAAAGATGTCAAAGTGGTATTCTCTCTGATACAGCGAGAAAATGGCTCGATTTTTGGATCAAAGTTGGAGCCGACTACTGAGAGAGAGGCAGAGATAATTTTTCCAGCTTGATGGCGTTGAAGATGAGGGTTATAGACCGCATCTAACTTGGGAAGGAACAGCTGGGTGAACAACTTCAGATGACGAAGATAACAACAGCATGACCAGAACCATCTGGAGCCTGGCAGAAGATAGTATCATGAGAGCAATCTCCAGCTGATGCCATGGTTGCGAGTCACAGTAGTTGCCTGAGCAAACCACCCCCAGCTCACCAGTGAAGCAAACAAAAATGGCGGCACGATGCCTTCTTCTGCGCCTTCCCGACGAATAATGCCGAAAACAACACCAACTTAATGAGAATGGGAGTGACCTGATGGCAATTATGACTATTTTCCATGTGACGGGCGTTCAAAGTACAGCAGCAATTGACTGACATCAACTCCAAATATTCATTTAGTCGTTCAACATCATAGCATGACAAACCTAACGCAAACGCAGCACCGCCCGACTTTGCAACCGCTAGTTAGTGTATTTGCTGTCTAAAACATGGCAATGCTGACTGAACCAGGCAATTGATGACAAGATTGATGTGAAAGGATCTCTTCCTCACATCTCAAGCAGAGCTCAAGAGTGCAATGAAAAGAGGGTTCGCATCGCCTGGAGGCAGTGTAATACCAGGGACACTGTGGCCGACGATCATGGGCAAGCCCAGAGGAAAGTCAGCCGAGAGACAAAAATTAGGATAATCACGATTCTACTCCGTAGAGTAGTTTCAGAGATTAAACTGAAAAGAACAGATACTACACTTGATCTAAGCCAAAAGGCAAAGAGAGCTAAAGAAGAAAAAAAGAAACTCAGTAAAATGGCGGTGGTGGACGAGAATATATACTGGTCCCAGGACTGGACCGTGCACGCCTGCAAATCTGCTGTGGAGTATGAAAAGGCCGTGCACGATTGCAAATTCTGAGTGGGGCGGGTGAATTGTCCGTGCGCTCTGGATTTTGGGTGGGCTTTGGAAATTCACTCGTCACCGCCCGGCAGAACTCGGGACGACCGCCGGCATCATCCACAGCTCCAGCTCAGAAGAGTGCGGGAGTTGGGCCTCAATTAAGCAGCCAGCGAACCCTCTAGACCGACCCATTCGACAGGCCGCCGGGCTCTTATTTCTCTATATCAACCGCAAAGATGTCCATGTTCAGGGCCAAAAAGTTTGATCTTGGGTGCTTCACCAACATCAAAATCATCCGGGATCACTCCAAGCGCAAGGCTTTTGAGGCCGCGGAGCCCGAGAGGTACATGGTTCTCTTGGTATGATCACGAGGGGCAGATATCCTGACATGAAATGCAGACAAGCTCTCCGGTACATCATCCGGAACACCACCCTTCCTATGAGGACACGCGCCATGGCCCAGCTCCAGCTCACTCAGATGCACTGCTACACCCGGCCAACACAAATCAGGAACCGCTGCGTCTTGGGCGGTAAGGGGAGAGGTGTACTGAGAGCATTCAAGATGTCAAGAGTATGTCACTGGGTTTTGGGGATGAGCTTGAGTCATTGCTAACCCATATTTACAGTACAACTTCCGTATGGAAGCATTGGCAGGTAATTTGCCAGGTGTGAAAAAGGCTTCTTGGTAAAAGAATGGTATTTTGGCGTTCTGAGGTGCATGAATAGAATTGATGGTCTGGCAACATGCCCGGTGTTGCCATAATGTTGGAAGATAGATATGGGCAACTTAGTGTGCAGAAAAGGTTCATTTGGCCCCAACAAATCTAGCAGAGAAAGGTTTCAGGTCATTCAGGCTGGACCTCTTCTTCTGCTGTGTATATTTGATGTTACAATATTAAACTCGATTTTAAACGAACCCCCTCCTCTAACGCCGGATTCCATGCAGCCCAACCAATCCAATCTAAAAACGTACCGCTACAGCAACGTATGGAGTGTGAAACGCCATTCTACTCATGTTGAAGAAATTTATGTGGAAGCCAAACTGTTAAGATACCGACTCAAAGAGCCTTGGTTTCTTCAGCGGCCACGACTTGGTCGAGACTCGCCGAGGCTGCAGCTCTTTCGCCGGCGCGCTTCCTGAGAACGTTCTCAATGAAGGCCTCCCCAGCCTTGTAAGATGACCTGACAAGAGGGCCGCTGGCGCAGTACAGGAAGCCCATATCCAGAGCACGCTGCTTCCAGAGGTCAAACTCGTCAGGGGTGACGTACTTTTCGACCTTGAGATGCCTCTTGGTAGGGCGCATATACTGCCCAAAGGTGACGACATCGACGTCGATCTTTCTCAGCTCTGTGTTCCATGTCAGCGTTTGCCCAGGCTGTTCAAGGAGATCCAGAATGATGCTTACCTCTCAGCGTATCCCAAATCTCCTGCTCCTGCTCACCAAGACCAAGCATGATACTCGTCTTGGTGATGATGCCCTCCTTGCCCCTGACAGCCTTCACATGTTCCAACACCTTCAAACTCTGTCTGAAAGTAGCCCTCCGGTCGCGAACATACGGTGTCAACCCCTCCACCGTCTCAACGTTGTGAGCATACACATCCAATCCACTCTCCGCCACAATCTTGACCATGTCCAGGTCCCCCATGAAATCACCAGTCAACGCCTCCACCAACAGCGTCGGCTTCTTCTGCTTAATCCTCCTAATCGTCTCCGCAAAGTGCCTCGCACCACCGTCCGCCAAATCATCACGATCCACACTTGTCAAAACCACATATCCCAACCCCCACCTCGCCAGTGCCTCGGCCGTATTCTCCGGTTCATGCGGGTCAAGCGGCGGAGGCTTCCTGTTGGTCTTGACACTGCAGAACCTGCACCCTCTGGTGCAAGTATCACCCATAAGCATGATCGTCGCCGTCGCAGCAGACTTGTCGTTTCCACCCCAGCACTCGCCGATATTCGGGCATCGCGCCTCCTCGCACACAGTGTGCAGGTTCAAACCCCTGAGGTCGGCCTTGATCTTGCCAAAGTTGGGGTTGGCACCTGAGGAAGGGATTGGGGTCTTGAGCCATTCTGGCAGACGGGTGATGGTGCGCTTGCGGCCGGCGGGGCCTACCTCTGCGGTCTTGATCTCGTAGGCTTCGCTGAGGGAGAGGGGGGCAGACTGGGAGCCCACGAACTCGGAAAAGGAGGCGACGGTGGTGTCTTTGAAGTATGACGGTCGCGGGGCCTTCTTCGCGGGGGTTGTTGAGGCTGCTGGGCTTGGCGATGACTGTGTCAGCCCCGGGTCGGACGGTGAAGGGATAGTGGCGTAAGTTCGGGATGAAAGGACAGCGGCTCGGGCCAAGGACCGTCGCAATGGGGCCTGGAGCCTTTGAAGGGGTGCTGGTGAGGCCATTTTGCGAGATCGACTGGCTATGTTTGGCGGGAGTGGGGGAATGGTCGTGGCGGAAGAGAGGAGGTTGTTTTGTTGGGTGACCAATATCCAGCAGGACAGTGGCGGATACGGAGTTGATAAGGCTGACTGAACAAAAAACCAAATCGGCGCCGGCTCTTGCATGCAGGGCATTCGCCCATCCGCCTCTTGGCGCCATCGGAATGGGTTATGTAATCCCGTAGGTACCCGTTGGCTACTCCGGGCTTCGGCCAACCAATAACAACTTCATCCCGACAGATCAAATAAAATTTCGCATTTCTATATGTATGGCACCGGATTCTGAGATATATGCTTTTGATGATTTAGCTGGACCAGTTTGGGAATCGGTGCTCGTGGCCTTCATTTGAACCTGGCCACTCAAAGAACCTTCGCACTGAAATACAGCACATTCACCTGATAAGTCAATGCCAGCCCCGGGCCACCATCGAAACAGCTTTGGGAATCCCGAACAACTCGTTGGCACTGATGGGCTTTGACAAGCGCATGTGTGGAGAAATCCGAGAAGCATGTGTGCTTCTGGAAGAATGCGGGGGTAATGTCCATTGGTAGTTTCGCAACCGCCGTGGCACATATTGGACGGCGATGAAACCGTTCCTGAAACAGAAAATACTGGCTGAGCTCTTTCTGCGCAGCTCATGAGATTCTACTTGGGATTATCAGCGGCTGAAGGCTGGGGTATCGGTGGAATCCCAAGTTTGCATGCCGGTGCTTACAACCAGCGTCATTGACGTCGTTGCTGTGGCTGAAATTCCTGGTGCTCACAAGAGATTTGTCCAATCAGAGTTGAGCGCTGATCGCACAACGGGATGTTGCGGATGGCCAACAAGATTCAACGGATACGGAGAGTAAAATGAAGCTGGGAATGCCTGGTGTCATGTTAATGCTATTGTTGGAGAAAACTGACAAGGCCTCTACTGCTTTGGCTACGTAGTAAACAACCAGGCAATTCATGAGCAGCCGGCTTCATACACAACGAGGCCTGGGTTGCGTTTATGAGCCTAAACAAGGGTTCTCCTTGGACTTGGACTTTCGAGCTTTCAGAGCTCCTTGTAAAACACCGCTTTAGTTCATCACTAGTAGTGAGCTCTGAGTTCAGGGGTTTTGTTCTATATATGGCCCATCAAAGAATGTGCAAGGTCTCAGCAGTCTTCATATTTCATTGAGGTTGAACAAAGCACATGTGCTGGGCTGGAAGTTGTTGTCAGCGCTGGACCTTGCAGCCGTTCCTAGGTCGGTCTGGGCAGTGGCTTGGGCGGCCTGCATTAACACTTGGTAGGCGAAAAGCAGCGTGACCCCGTTAAGAGCTATCCAAACCCAGGTATGGGTCGGCCCAGTGTTTTTAGCGGCGCAGCCACTTTCCCTGCGCTCTCCTCTGGCCTCCTGTTCGTTTCGCCTGTCTCTTCTCATTCCGCAGAACAGTCTCGCAAGGAACATCTACATCACCTCGCAATCTCGCTCCCCCAACACACCTCCCTACGACCTCAAGGACACGAATACCATCGCTTCATACCCGCGCGAAACCATCTGCGAGCGAGTTTGCACGCCTCTTGCTGTCTTTGATTGAAATCGACCCCTTTTAAGCCACCAGTAGTCGCCAGCGACAGTCGTCATCCATCATGTCTTCCGAGCCGTATGACCCTTATATCCCCGCCGGCCAGCAGGGCTCGTCGCAGGATCCCGGCAATGCCAGGACGCAAGCTTTGAAGCAGGTGGGTGATTTCGCAGTTTAGCTCGACGTTCTTGAGACAAGATGGGAGACGGAGAACTTGAGTCGTTGGTCTGCCCAAGGCCGCTGTTCCCGAGAGTCCGATCGACTGGTCCACCAGCCAACAACATCACCACCCTTCGTTCTCGCGGCATCAACAACACCACCCCTTACGAACTTTGTGGGATTGAGGGATGGGGCATGAAATTGCAGCTAGTCGAGAACTTCTGCAGTGGGAAAAAAAGTCATCTATCATGCTGCGGTAATACGCTTAGACTAATATTGGGCGGTGATGGCGCTTGGGTGCTATGTCGATCGGGGGTAGAGATTATGGGCAAAATTCAGGTTATTCTTTCAAAGGGAGCGAGCTAACAAATTCTCTAGCAAATCGACGAGACTGTCGATGTCATGCGCAAGAATGTCAACAAGGTCGCCGAGCGTGGTGAGCACCTTGATAGTCTCCAGAACAAGACCGACGATTTGGCCATGTCCGCACAAAATTTCCGCCGTGGTGCCAACCAAGTCCGCAAGAAGATGTGGTGGAAGGTATGGATACTTCAAGTCTGAACTGGTTGGTACAGGATGCTAACATTTCGGCTACAGGACATGAAGATGCGCATCTGGCTCATTGTCGGTATTATCGTCCTTCTCGCCATCATTATCATCCCTGCGGGTATGTACACCACGATGGTCGCGGCATCGAATGTTTTAGTTTCCATGCTAACCACACCCTACAGTTGTTGCTACGAGATAAATCAGCCCATATGACCTTGGCGATGATGACAGCGAGGCGATCTGAATGGACACGAATCTGGGTTTTTACGCATGACCAACATTCACGACGATAGGGATAGTTCTTGTCTGGGATTGATTTTTCTTCCGGGAGTTTCTTGTTTTGTTTCGACGGTCTCTCTGGCTGGAGCTCTTTACGTAGTTGCCGGGGCGGCCGTCTTTGCGTGTTGCATGGAGCCTTTCCCCCAGTCTGGGAGTTGCAATAGCTTCCTCATGCACCTGTACTTATGATGTTAGGAGAGGGTGTATCCCCATATGGTTAATCAAAGATAGCAGTGACGATGATTTTTTAAGATATGACACGACGCTTTCACATGCCATTTGTGCTGGTGTGCTCTGGAGCGTGCCATGATGATGTCCTCGTAGCTCGAATCAATGCTCAAGACCCTGAGGAACAGCTGGAAGTTTACTGCACCATCCCCTGCATCCCCCGCTGTGCCTCGGACATTGACACCCTGATAGATCAAGGCTGGAGATCAGGCGATGGGTCAAAAATTTTATCAGATCGTCTGGGTGCCAGGGAAACCGCGCATGGCAATGCGATGATACATTGTGTCTTCCTCTTGGCACAGCGGGGACATACGGCTCTACCTGCACTGGGCGAATGTTTGGTAAGAGACTGGCAACGTTTTCTGTGGCCTTGAGTGCTCGCAGCTATCTCCTAGCACAAGCTCTCAGAGCTCTATGATAGGTGAAATTCTCATCAAGGGAAAGGATCGGGTAGTGAGAAGTACCCAGGGGGTGGTTTTATTGAGAGTTGTAGTGGTGTAGCAGCTACACAGGAAAATATACAAAGCCAAGGTGGGTGTTTTCTCCACTGCGGTTTCGGTCTTCAATTTTTCGGTTGCCCCTCCTCCACCTCTTGTCCTGACCGACTTCTTATCAGATCCGTCGTCCCCGGCCAGCAATCCACAACTCCAGCCTACTCCGATCGAGACTCGCTGATGCCATTGGGGTTCTCAAGAGGGCTCCGCCGTTTCCTGCAGCGTCAACTTGGGTGCTTCCCCGTCCAATTCCTCGGCAGGTCCCCTCTGAAGTCCAATTGACTCATTGGTGAATCGAGGATCCAGTTGCGGTTTAGGAGCTGCGACTAGGTTCCAGGTTGTCCCGCCCTTCACACACAACAACCACACCCGGTTGCTGCAACTTCCCCTCCGCAGATTTTCCTTCTTCCAACATACTTTTCTCCTCCTTCCCCCTTCCTCCTCCTCGACAGCCAATCCGCCTACGCTCGTCCTCCTTTTCCTCCTCTTCCTCCCGTCCTCCCTCCGAGCGTAACCCAGCTCGTTTCTCCCGCACCGCAGATCTGACATCGACCCCCCGGTTCGCGACGCATATAACACATTTTCATATACACATTTTTCCAAGATGCTCTCCGCCGCCGCCGTTGCCCTCCGGGCAGGCGCCCGTCGTACCGTTCGACGGCTGCCGGGCAAGACCCGTGCCATTCCCGTTGCTGCGTCCCTCCGTCGCCAGAGGCCATTCTCGACGTCTGCGACCCGGAAGACAGATCTGACCACAAGGGGCATGATAGTGCAGACTTTGTCGTCTGTGGGATCTAAGAGAGAGGTGCAGCAGTACTTGTCTCTGTTCACATCCGTCTCTTCCCAGCGATTCGCCGTCATCAAGGTTGGCGGTGCTATCTTGACCGACTACCTCGACGAACTGTGCTCTAGCTTGGCTTTCCTTTATACCGTCGGCCTTTACCCCGTCATTGTCCATGGCGCTGGTCCTCAGCTCAACAGTTTGCTCGAGCAGGCTGGTGTCGAGCCCCAATTCGAGGAGGGAATCCGTGTCACAGACGTCAAGACGCTCAGAGTGGCTCGCGACCTGTTCATGAGGGAGAATTTGAAACTCGTCAACAAGCTGGAGGAGAAGGGTGTGCATGCTCAGCCTCTGACCATTGGCATGTTCAGAGCCGAGTACTTGAACAAGGAGAAGTGGGGTCTGGTAGGAAAGGTTACTGGTGTCAACAAGCAGGCGATCGAGACGGCCATCAGCAACGGCTACCTGCCCATTCTTACCTCCATGGCTGAGACCGACGACGGCCAGATCCTCAACGTTAACGCCGATGTTGCCGCTGCTGAGCTTGCTCGCGCTCTCGAGCCTCTGAAGGTGGTCTACCTCTCCGAGAAGGGTGGTCTGTTTGACGCTGCTGGCCAGAAGATCTCCGCTATCAACCTCGATGAGGAATTCGACCACCTCATGTCTCAGGAGTGGGTCAAATACGGCACTCGCCTCAAGATCAAGGAGATCAAGGAGCTCCTGGACACCCTTCCACGCGCGACCAGTGTGGCCATCATCCACCCAGGTGACCTTCAGAAGGAGCTGTTCACTGATTCCGGCGCTGGCACCTTGATCCGCCGCGGCAGCAAACTCCTCTCGGCTACCAGCCTGTCCGAGTTCAAGGATCTCGATGCGCTCAAGTCGGTTCTGGTCAGGGATCGTGAGGGTCCCGACGCGAAGGAGACTGTTGACAAGTACCTTGAGTACCTGAACGAGAACGATTTCAAGGCCTACTATGACGGCGACATGAACGCTCTTGCCATTGTCCTTCCTGCCAAGGATGGTCGTCAAGCCACTCTTGCTACGCTGACCATAACCAAGTCTGGCTGGTTGACGAACGTTGCTGACAACATCTTCACTGTTCTCAAGAAGGAGCACCCTTCGCTTGTATGGACCGTGAAGGAGGACGATGAGAACCTTGGCTGGTTTTTTGACAAGGCCGACGGGAGCATCACTCGCGATGGCGACGTGATGTTCTGGTATGGCATTGACAACGGTGACGAGATCATGCGCTTGATGAAGGATTTCACCCTGAATGGTCGTGCTATGCTCGGCGATTCTAACCTCGAGTCGCGCCTGCACCGTGCTGCCAAGACCGGCTCCAAGCCGTTCGCTCAGCAAACCCGGAGCTACTCCACCCTGGCTCGCCGTCCCGTCGTCTCCGCCCCTGCCTTCGGTCTCAACACTGGGAGAGGATATGTTACCCAGACCAACCCCAACCCTCCCATTGGCAAGAAGAATGCCTCCAAGGAGGGCCCTGCGAGGGTAGCCCTCATTGGTGCTCGTGGTTACACAGGCCAGGAGCTCGTCCGCCTCCTCGACTCTCATCCCAACATGGATCTCCGCCATGTCTCGTCCCGTGAGCTTGCGGGCCAGAAGCTGGAGGGCTATAACAAGAGCGAAGTCATCTACGAGAGCTTGAGCCCCGACGATGTTCGTGACATGGAGAAGCGTGGCGACATCGACTGCTGGGTCATGGCTCTCCCCAACGGTGTTTGCAAGCCTTTTGTCGAGGCTGTCTACGAGGGCCGCAAGGGCTCCAACCACAAGAGCGTTATCGTCGATCTTTCTGCCGACTACCGCTTCGACAATTCGTGGACCTATGGTCTTCCCGAGCTCGTCCAGAGAAACAACATCGCGGATGCCACTCAGATTGCCAACCCCGGTTGCTATGCTACCGCTGCCCAGCTCGGCATTGCCCCCCTCGTTGAGCACCTTGGCGGTATGCCTCACATCTTTGGTGTTTCCGGTTACTCCGGCGCCGGTACCAAGCCTTCTCCCAAGAACGATGTCGACAACCTCACCAACAACCTCATCCCTTACAGCTTGACTGGCCACATTCACGAGCGTGAGGTCAGCAGCCAGCTCGGCGCTCAGGTTGCCTTCATTCCCCACGTCGCCGTTTGGTTCCGTGGTATCCACCACACCATCTCTATCCCCCTCAAGCAGAGCATGACCTCGCGTGACATTCGTCAGATCTACCAGGACAGATACGCTGGCGAGAAGCTCGTCAAGGTTGTTGGCGAGGCCCCTCTTGTCAAGAACATCAGCGGCAAGCACGGTGTTGAGATTGGTGGTTTCGAGGTTGACAAGACCGGGAAGCGTGTCGTTGTTTGCGCTACTATTGACAACCTTCTCAAGGGTGCCGCTACTCAGTGCTTGCGTAAGTTTATTCACTCTGGATTATCTACAGGACTCTGACGCTAAGATCGTGATCAGAAAACATGAACCTTGCTCTTGGCTATGCTGAATATGAGGGCATCCCCATCATGTAAGATGCGGAAGCAAGTCTTATAAAGCATACTCGTACATATATATTTTTGCAAGCAGGTTCTGGTGTGGTTCATCAAGGGGTGCCATCCCCATCGATTGCCACTCATTGTTAGCGGGAGAAAGCTTTTCTTGGGTTTCATGTTCATGTTCATTCCGTACGGATTATACATATTTGATGCGATGGTGGTGGACACTTTGGGTTTCCTTGTTGTCTTATGGAGTTCAAGGGGAACTCGAAAAACGGTTATTCGGCTGGCATTTGAAGAAAGAAGCGGGTTTGTTTTGAACTCGGATGGTTAGTTTTTGTAAAAAGCTGTATGGAGAAAAGCGTTTCTAGAAGCAGCAACAGGGGGCGGTTGTGATGATGAGCTGGGTGGAGTTGTGTCGGTTATATCCAGCGAAGCACTTGACTCAATCGGGTAGGTCAATTGCGAAGCCGGTTATCATTCGTCAATTGAGCTGATCAAGGTTTATTTACGGCCTTTGTCTCCAACATCAGAATCTGAAGGTGGCGGGTTACTGTGTACTGTTGAAGAGGTTGCGGCGAGGTTGAATGTGCCGTTTCAACGCTCTTTCCGCCAATTGAGCTTACAAGTAGACCAGAGAAGGTGAGAAGGCACAGCAAACGCCCAGTGGCAACTCCTGCTTCCAAAGGGTAGGTGAGGTCAAGTGTGGAGACCTTTGAACACCTGATAAGCCGTCCGGGTTTCCCTTTCTGCTTTGATGTTTTTCCCGCATCTTTTTGAGCCCCTCTTGTCAAAGCCTACCCCTCCATTGCTTTCGAGTCATCTCCACCACTCAGCCGGTAGCATCACGTTCTCGTCGCCAGAAGTCGGATTCCTCGGCTTATAACTTTGGCTCTTATCGTCACACTTTTTGGGAATTTTCATTCACTTCTTTGTTACAAGTCCTGAGACGAAGTCGTACTCGACTTACGTCACCAACACAGAAAACTTTCAGTAACCGTCGAGTTCCAAAACACCACAGTTCAAAATGATGGACCTCCCCATCGACCACGGCCACCTCGAGCACCTCTTGCCTGCCTCATGGAAAACCTCCATCACGGCCTGGCTGGCAGAGGACACCCCCTCCTTTGACGTCGGCGGCTTCGTCGTCGGCTCCGACCTCCGCACTGCCACCCTGTGGGGAAAATCCTCTGGCATCCTGGCGGGCGTCCCCTTCTTCAACGAGGTCTTCACCCAGTGCGGCTGCACGGTCGAGTGGCACGCCCGCGAGGGCTCCCACGTGGAGACGCACGGGGGTAAAAAGGCACTGGCTACCGTCACGGGACCTGCGCATGGGCTTTTGGAAGGCGAGCGTGTCGCTCTGAACATCCTTGCGCGGTGCTCGGGGGTTGCGACCATGAGCAGGCGGCTGCTGGTTAACCTGCGGAGCGCGGGGTACAAGGGGATTTTGGCGGGGACGAGGAAGACGACGCCGGGGTTTAGGCTGGTGGAAAAGTATGGGATGCTGGTTGGGGGGGCGGATACTCACAGGATGGATTTGAGCACAATGACGATGTTGAAGGATAATCATGTTTGGAGCCGGGGGAGTATTACGCAGGCGGTGAAGGCTGCGAAGGCGGCGGGGGGGTTTAGTTTGAAGGTGGAGGTGGAGGTACAGAGTGAGGAGGAGGCGGACGAGGCGATTAGGGCGGGGGCGGATGTGATTATGCTGGATAATTTTACCGGGGAGGGGGTGAAGGTTGCGGCGCGGAGTTTGAGGGAGAGGTGGAAGGGTGAGAGGGAGTTTTTGTTGGAGGTTTCGGGGGGGTTGACGGAGGATAATGCGGAGAGTTATATTTGCAATGGTGAGTTTTCTTTGGGTTGTGAGGGGGATGGATATCTGCTAACGGCGGTGAAAAACAGATATCGATATCCTTTCCACGAGCTCGATTCATCAGGGGGTGCGCCATATTGACTTTTCGCTGAAGATTAACGTGGAAAAGGGCCAGGGCCCCGAGGTGGCTAGCTGAATGTTAGGGGTCTCAGAGGTCTTTTCTCATCAACAGCTGTATTTCTGCACATGATTGGGTTTGTCGATTAGCGATTAGACATGTTCATGGCTAGCAGGGGCAGGCAGATGGCCTGACGCATAACAACAGAAGTTTCTTTTTTGGTTGACAGCTCAAACTCACTTGTTGGATGAGATATTCCGCGGAGAGGCTTCCTGCAAGGAACTTGATCAATGCAGATGCTTGTTGCATGTGGTTGGTTTCTGCCTGGCTCCTTACCTGTGGTAGTCTCCGTTTAGAAGGAAATCCAATATTGCTGGCAATACCACCCACCCTCCGGCCATAAAACCCCCTGCAGCAAGAATTAATTTCTTCTACTTTTCGTCCGTCTAGGCTGGAGGATGCCCGGGGTCCGGGGTCTCCGACACGGCAGATACCCCTGTTCCCACGTGGCTATCCCGACGTCCCTTTTCTCTTTCCGGTAGTTATAAGTTTCGGGGAGCAGTGATGCTCGGCTGCGGCACAGGAGATGGAGGGATGGCCATGAGGCAGCAGGGAATCTATGCGAGGGGGTGGGATATCCATATTCGATCATCATAGGAGAGACGGGGGTGCCTAGTTATTGTTTTGGAGTAACCACACCCCTTATGTTGCTTTGGCGGAAGGCCATGTTTTGGATGGTCACAAGACGGAGCTGGTCGTTAGGTCTTTTGTGGGCTACCAAGTAAGTTACCTAAGGTAAAACAGATCTGGTCTGCATCAGGATGAGCTTGCATCAAGTTCCAAAGTACACAACCGGATACGGGCATCGTTGTAAAAGAGTTCATTAGAAAGAGGCACAAAATAGAAAATAAATCCAGAATCTGTATTCTGACCCCCGGGTCTACCAATCTTCGTAGTCATAGTCCTCCAAGAGAATTCCCGCCATCCTCCCCAATTCCCTTTGCTTCCAATCACAGTAATTATCCTCGTGTTTGGGTGTACACCATGCCAATATCTCGTCCCTCTAATGCTCACCGATCTCCTCCGAGTAGTCTTCTATGGTGCGTTGAACTGCAGCCATGACACTGTTCCACATATCCAAGCTGATTGTGTCACTTATTCTTTCATTCCGCCTCAGGTCACAGATATCGACTGAGACCTGACGAAAAAAACTCCGCCTATCATCTCCATCTCCCATCTGCTCTCGGAACAAGGTGTGGGAGATTGGATTTTGCTTTGCGTAGAGCTGGAGATGGTAGTATACAAGCCAGAAGGTTTCGTCTGGCGTGCTCCAAGGAATTGCCTGATAGCTGAGTCTCTTGATCAGTTCTATCATAGGGCCTGGAGGGTTGTCCTTCGGTGGCGGCAAAAGATGGATGTGAGAGCACCACCGCCTGCATATTTCCAACTCGTGCCTGGTGGTCTGGAAGATATCAAGCCACGGCATCTTGAGGAATTAAATAGAGACCATCTCTTCTGTGCACCATACCGTGGATGTGTGCCCCCCTCCCCCCCAACAATGTCCATCACCGGACCCACCACAATCGAGCGTGAATGGTGACGGGGTTCAAAGCCATGACGCTTTGCGTCTCTGGCTTCGCTCACCACCAGTGGCAAATAATAGCCGTATGGTAGAAACCAAACGTCTCGCAGAAAGTCTTCCAACTTCCAACGTGCCTTGTGATAACGCTCATCTTCAGAGTCTCTGGTTGATAACACCCCTGGAGTGCGAGGGGGTCCAATCTACGCAGTAGCCGAGTTCTGTATCCTCGTAGAGGCCGTATTCATCTGCTCTGTAAATATCAAGACACAAGTTCACATATCCCTCGGTCCTAAGGCTCATCACCTTGCGGCCAGGGTCATGTTGCAGTAGGTTTAACAGCCACTCTACCATGAGGGCGGGGGTATCTATCCTCTTGTGATTCGGTCATTTCGTCGTGATCCACACTGGTAGGTAGGTGGTGATCGATAAAACGCAGCCGAAAGGGGGTGAACAGATCGGGGTGTTGAGTAGATCGAGGCGAGGTTGTCCAAGTACGTGGATTTGCAGCTTGATTGTGAGTATCGGCAGGAATTATTTGTCCAAATTCAGGATTTTGTGGGCTTCATGTAGTGGTGGCCTTGACAAAACTTAGAGTTTTATTTGTTTCAGAGTATCCTTTTGGCCGGGGCTTGATTGTACTTGCCTATCGAGTTCCTGGACAGCAGCCAAACGGAAACGGCGATGCTCTTTTCACAGGAAGTTGTCCGAGGAAAGAGCATCTCATGTCTGTCTCAAGATTGGAATGACTCCTCTTAACCACCTTGAGTTTGAGTTTTACTTCTTTTGCAACCCACTGACAATATTCTCGCGTGCCAGCAACCTCTGAGCCATCAAGAGATCGTATTGGCGCAACTTACACCCTCATCGTCGCTCGTTCCAAGCAGCAAGAGTCAGAAACAGCAATGCTCACACTAACCTTCCTTAGCAGCCGCAGCCCACTCAGATAGTCAGCCAGCAGCTTCCACTTGCAGAAGACTCGGGAGTCGGGTTAAGCTCCGTGGTCCTCCAGCAAGAACCGGGCCAAGCTCCGCAAAAGCACGAGACAACAAGGAAGAAATGATCTTCCCAAGCATCTACAGGGGCTTGTTTCGAATATTCCCCAACTCCTCTCCTATCATATATGATCAACCACTTTGAACGGCTCTTTTCGCTTTCGCTTTTAAACCTGGCTGCAGATGCATGGCACAGCGCCCCCCCTCAATGGTGGCCGCTCGACCCCACAAAATAAGCACGGAAAAAGCAGCCTGCCAGTTCCCTTGGGCGCAAAAAGACGGAGCTATCTCCGAGTCTTCTTCACGAATTAAACAGGCCGAAGCCTTGTCGATTTTCTTCTTCCTTTTGAACTCTCCCACCAATTACCCCCTGTCAGCTCTTCTAATGCAAGCTGCAGCTAGCAACGCTCAGGGACCCCTGAAACTGCAGTGCTGTATGTAAAGATAACCGACAACACCCTTCTGGGGGCTGCTGATGGCTGCGAAGAACCAAAACTCGCCTGCGATTGGATCTTGAGTATGTCGCCTTCAGGACTCGAAACATGCTGTTACTGTATCTTGACTTGCACGAGATGTCGACGCAGATGGGCAATGCATGTTTCTAGTCTAGGGTACCTACGTATCTGAAGCACCACATGCTTCCTCGTCGGATGCCTGATTCGACGTTTTCATGAACGCATTCGTTCAGAAGGATGAGCCATTCGAGGTTTAGCAGCATCCCCACAGATCGCGCGCAAAAAGTCTGTATTCTTCAACAAGGACGTCGCACAGTGGGCATCTCCCACCCAGGTGCCTACCAACCACACCCGGTCGCTTCTCGCATTCGCATTCTGTACTTACGCCCCGCAACTCCGCCCCCCTGACAAACGTCACGCTCGATCAGAGGAGGAGGAGGAGGCTCCCAATTTCCACGTGGCTAGGTTGCATTGAAGGATCATGTGCCTGGATATGTTGTCAAGATGCTTGCCTCCGGTTTATCTACCCCCTGCTTTATACATTGATGGCGTACTACGAGATGCATCTGTCAAATGTCAGTTTGTTTGACTTTTGATTTGTGGAGGTTGAAGTCTCAGCTTCTGCAGCTGGGTAATTTCGAATGCGGACCCCAATGGCACTTCATTTTTAAGTGCGCAGTTGATACTGGGACTGGGAGGGCTGTTGATGGTGTTTTCGACATCAGTCCTATCCCACCCCCCCCTCCCTTCTTTGTTTAGTGGTCGTCGGGAAGTCCGGGAGTTGCGTAGTGGGTGAGCGGTGTGTGCGGTTGAGATCTACTACCGAGGTTTTTACAGCCTTGTCTTTGTGGTCGTCATGGGTTCTGCTTGGTACCTTATCCAGCACTTCGTTTTGAGAGAGAGAGGAAGAGAGACAAGGCGGCAGATCGGGCTGAGAGAGATGATGCAAGTACCGTTGTATGTCGCTTTTTCAGGGAAACGAGGGGGGAAATGCGGGATGTCTGGTTCGTCTCGAGGATGCGTGGTTAGGTATTCTGCGGAGACTGGAGATATGGGGGGCCTGGGGCTCGATGGGCAGACTGCCGTTGCTACACCTGGAGGAGTATCTCATCAGTATAAGAGGTGAGCTTACCGACCTTCCTGTCTCGTTCCATGTCCCTCATGGAAGACAAGATTTTACCATCTATACACATCCAACACTTACCCTTGAACACATTCTTCTCTTCATCCTAGCGCCACATGCACTCATGTATGCTACCCGGCTCCTCACACTAAACAACAATGCCAACCAACCGCCCCCAACCCACTGAATGGACCCTCCTCTACATCCAAACCACCCAGACATCTCACCAGCAAAGACAAGACCACACCACAGACATCCAGCAGTCAAAACAAGCCCACCAAGCTGCCGCTCAAAGAAAAATACAAGAGGACATCGGCCCTCTACTGGATACACCACCATCACAACCGCAACAGGAGCAACGGCCACTCACCATTTCACGTCGTTCTCGCCCTAGGAACTGAGCCAAACACCCCAATAGTTACACGAACTACCCTGGCATCAGACAATCCGGGAGGGCGAGAAAGGGGTGTACTACTGGTCCGCGAGTAAGCCGGCGGCAATGGCGGCATTACACTCTTCGGCTCTCGTTCATGACAATCGTAAAAACAAGCGGTGGAGGATTGAAGTCGAGAAATGTGGAGGAGGCGGTGGCGGGAACTGATAACGGATGCGGGAACTGAGCACGAACCGGTTCGTTGGCGAGCGAGCAAAGCCCGCCCAGCGAGGCCACACTATGGCTGGGTGGTGTGGCTTCAGTAGCATTTCTGGAGGGGTGACAAACAAGAGTGGGATTAATGAACTGGGATGAAGAGACGAATGCATAAAAGGGGTTGTTTGCTAGCGGGTTTTCTCTTGTTTTTTTGCTATAATTAGGTGACCGATCGTTTCCTGCTGGCCAGGGAATGGGTATGGAATGGGTTTCTGTCTGGAAAGAGGAGGTTGTCATATTGGTTGGCCTGGAAGCCGGGCCTTGGGGGTGTGCGGTTAGAGGGGGTTGACGAATTGTTTATCGAGTATCTGGTTGGCTGGCTGGGGCGTTGGTGACACAAACAGCACGTTTCTCTCTCCGGCGGCGTTGGGGGGTCTCTTGGGTTGGCAAGCACGCGGGGCATCGATTCGGAAGACGTAGGCGAAATGATCCTAGTCTATTCTTCGTTCACAGATCATGGCTTTTTTTGTAGGTTGGGTAGCAAGATGTGATTTGATAGCGTGTCTCGAACCCGGAGATGCGTGCTGGCGATGAACCGGAGAACACTCCGGTCGAGATTGTTTGCTACCTACCTCATCTATTGTTCTGGTTAATATGTGAGGTGTCATATCCCATGTAAGCAGCCCAGTCTCATCTGACAAGATCGCCGTGATACCCGTACTGAGGAAATGCAGGTGCTGATAATTTTGTTAAAGCCTGCGGCGCAAATAACCACACTTCCTCAAAGCCGTTGAAGAATGAGCCTCTTGGGTGCAGGTGAGGCAACGTTCCACATCGATCTCACTTGACTTGAGGTCGTCCAATGATACAAGGCAGAAGAAGTTGGGAAAAGGTATGCAAGCAGATGAGGCTCTGAAAGTGCACTTCTTTTTCATCTCTTCTTTGAAGAGAGAACATGAAGATGCGGAGCGGGAGCGGGAGGGCGCTCCCAGAAAGTGGGAGCAAAAGCCAACAAGTGCTCAAACCGAAGCGCAGAATCGGATGAAGAACCGGATAACGGCTGCTCGCCTGTGACGATACGCGACTGCCAACCAGAGGAGGGGATAGGAAGAGCGCCAAGTTTGTGAGAAGTGATAGGTTGGCCTCGCCGGTCTCCTCTTGTCCACATCCTCCGCAATCTCTCAGCCTTCCCCTTTTCGTCTTACCGATTGAAAGTGCAGATTGGGCCATATAAAGAGGCCAGAGAAAATGAATCTGAATAGAATATAGACACCGAAGCATGGCGATGAACAGGATTTTGTCTCCTGGTTTTTGGGCATAGGGGTTCTCCAAGCCAATATTGTTGGTTGATATGACGTTGGGCATTGTTCTCGGCGGCCAGCCTCATGGGATGTTATCCGCAGAACATATAATCTCGGTTCGTCGTTGAACACCACCCCGAGTCTAGAATGTTTGAGGCGAGAGTAAATGCCTCAGTTTGACGCATGCTGCGAGCAGCTTGCCGGCTTCTTTTTGACACTCGTCAAGCTCCTCCCCGTCTGCAGCAACCCCCGTGTATTTCCTTCGCCATCCAATCAGCACGTCACCGGTTTCCTGCATAAGGCTTGATGTTCTCACTCTTTCATCTTCGGGTCTTCCATGGTCTTGCTCATTCATTGTATTCACCGCCATTCCTATCCCCAAATGTGATTCGACCGTTTCATCGCTCTTGGTTAGGTATATCCAAGTACTTCAGTGTATTGTTCGGGTACCTTTTATGATTTCATGTTGTTGATGAGCCCGACGTATGGTGGGTTCCGCATGCATCACCACACTCCGGTAGCCTCCCGTAAAAATGTGGGGGAAACAGGAGTAGAAAGGATATGCGAAACGTCACACCGCAGCGGCTGATGGCCGCCTCGAAATCTTTATGGGGTGGAAGAGATAAGAGGACCGGCCAAAAGCGATTGAAGCCTCGATTAACCGTCCCCTCTTCTCTTGTTGTTTTCAGGGGAAGAGGATATGGTTACTGAGTGCCACCGCCGTGCTTTCTCGTGCGTTATCCAAAGTTCTCACGGTTCCACATAGAACATTTTCCGACAGGCTGCTGATGATCTGAAGGGCGGTGTACATCTGTGAAAGGGGTGGTCAGCAAAGCTGCTCCTGATTCTGCGAGTAAGCACGGGTGAGAACTTTGGGCAAACGTCAACTGGTCTGTCGCGCCACAACTACCCCATGGACTCCAGCAAGAATTGTTGTCTACAATGGTGACGAGATTCCCCTCATGCCGGAGGAAAGCGAGGCTCGCCCTCTAACGCTCTGTGGGCAACGAGCTGCCTGCAAATGTCTCCGTGTCGCCTTGGGCCGCGAAGTTCTGACAACGTGACGGCAAAAGGGCAGCGCATTTTGGGTGTGATATTCGGTTTTACAACCGGCGAGGGCTTGTGATAAGAGGCTACGGCCTTCCAGGTAGAGATAACTGCTCACCAAAGAAGGGATGAACCTTGCTGGTCTCCACAGCTGTATTGTCTGAAAGGCTACGACTCACCAAGTCGATATCCATAGCTGCCCAACCCCTCCGGAAAGGCGCAGACAGCACCCTGGAAAAGCGAATAAGCCGGCTGAAGCGGCGATGGCCCCTGTTCCCCTGGTCTGCAGCGTTCCGTGCAGGACAAGTCCCGTGCCCGAGTGTGTCCGAGCCGTATAAGTGAACGGCAATATGCCATCCGGTCTGGATATGAGCCAGTCATAATTGTTCTGAAGCGACAGTCCTGATAATAGACTAGTCCAACGTGTGTCGTTGAGCGAGTGAGGGTAGATACATACCACACCGCTATTTTGAGCCGCACCAACAGGACTGAAGTTGAATATCTTCTGGAGATCTCCAAGTGAAGCGCATTCTGAGGACCGACCCAAGGAAAGATAGGCGTTCAGCAAAAGACCGCATAGTTCTTTAGACCACTCCTTCAACTACCACATCTCTCTCTGAGGCGTCATTGCATTCTCCCGAGGATTCCACACTCCAAATTCTGAGATATTGGACTCGGTGTGGTGTAAATATGTGCCTTCCCGTCGCTTGATTACAACCAGTGTAGCAAGCAAGGAAGGGGCGCCGCGGTAGGCGGGACTCCGTCTTCTGGCTCACATAATCGGAACCTGTGACGTCTCAAGAGGGGTACCGTGACAGAAGCTGCACGAACACAGCAGCGTAGCACTTGGAATGTGTGGTTTATAAAAGCGTAGAAGTCCGGATACTCCTTCGCCAAGGGCAGTCTTCCTACATTCACACTTCAGATCAGCGTCCCAGTATCCAAAACCAGAACAGCAGTTCAAGACCACCTTACCCAAGACACCATACTTCAACATGACTTTGATGAAAAGCGAAGAGCAAACCACATCGTCAACCGGCCCAACAATCACCCCTCTTTCATCCTACCCAGCCATGCTCCGTCTTGACGAGGACGAGGAGAATGCTTCGTACGGGCTTTCCTCTGAGAAAGGCCCCTCTGGCAGCTACGTTGCTGCGTACCCGGAATCTGACGACAGATTGGCGACGGGCAAGACCAACCAAGAGAATCTCAGCCATGTTGGCGCTCGCTTCATGTCGACAACGGGAACAGGGCGGGATGATGCCGCTAGTCGGACAGAACTGGACAAGGAGACGAAGAAAATCAAGGACACGTGCTTGGTTTCAGTTCGAGATGAACTAGGCCGAAGTTTGACTTGGTACGTCACAGGCCAACTACCAGTCCTGAAAGGTTGGGCTTTAATGCTAACAGAAGGTTTTCGTTTCGGAAGCCGCCATAGTGATAGCACTTTCTGGTGCGAGCGGTGCGCCATTAAGGTCAACAGCAATCCAGGGTCGTCTACTCCTCGTGCAATTCCCGAGACCAAGGTGCTCGAGATTCATTTAAGAAAGAATCGGCAGTCGGAAAGGGTAGTGCTGAAGAAACCGAGGACAGTGGTGAATTTACCAGAGAGTGTAGAGGGAGCGCCGAGTTCAACACAGAAGTAGGCTGGAACGCGACAGAATAGGTGGACAAACAGGTCTCGTTATGGTTGACTGCTTTGTCTCTCAATAGGTTCTTTCCATGCCAGAATTCTTTCGTGGTGCGAAATCTGGTTGTCGCATCCCGGTACAGCCCAACGCCAAAAATATCCAATATTATGCATACCAAGAGGCAGCGTGACTTGCCGGAAAAGACGCTCTCTCCGATCTCTGGTTGCTTCTCGAATCGAGTGATAGTTCATTTGCTGCATATTGCTGAACAACTCCCCCGCACGCACCAAGTCTCCTGTCGAACATGTGGCGTGCGCCTCTACCAATCTTCTATTTGCATGACGGATGAAATGGGACGGTGGCATATGTCCAGGTTCAAGATCTACACTGCTGCTTTCCCCATCGAAGCAACGCAACCATCAATGAAGACACCCACACTGACGGTAGATTTCATCAGTGGTTGAAGTGCGGGAAGTCTGAGAGCTCACCAATGCAACTTGGATGGGTCGCCATGCCTTGATATCTGCCGCTTCGATGAAACAACGGGGTGAGGTGGTGGGGGCGTGCTGCAAGCGGACCATTTCGTCGAGAATTTCTTCAGCATCTGAACAAAACTTGCGGGTGATAGACTCGGCAGAAATATTGGCGTTTTATTGGCGGTAGTCCGGATTGGAATGGTCATGGAGGGTGCCCGGTCGACATCTGCCAATATGAATACCAGACCTCGCTCTTGGACAAATCCGCTGCCCCTTCTCCTGTGTATTCAGACATATTGTCGAGTTTTTCGACCAACTGAACCACCAGTGTTTATCTATAACCCAATTCAGGACTCCCTGGACGGTTTGCCCGAACCAGCACCGATGTGGAACCAGCATGATTGGTCTCCCTCACGATGGACTATCGCTCGCTCTCCAGAAGTTCCCGCACACCCAATAGGGCTTCCACAGCAAGTTATCCGTCACCGCCTGTTCCAAAAGTTGCCCGACTGGTCGACAACATGTACCCTAGGGTCTTCTTGTGTGTCCGGCTGCCACGTGATGGATGGTGTGAGAGTTGGTGATTGTTTCCTGGATACTTGGGGGCCTTCTCGGAACATGGCTAGAACATGAGCTGGGCTGGCCAGTGGATAGTTGAGGTGAGATGGCCGTGTTGGATGCTGTCGGTGTGTACAGGTATGCCAATCGCTGTCGAGGGTAGCTCCCTGCCCAACCCTAGGTAGTTTGTCATCACTTCCGCTCCTGCGAGAGTGTCTTGCCCCGAGCCTTACTTGCCTAGAACACGTGTAATGACATGAACCGCAGTATACCAGTTTCTTTTTTTCCGTCGTCAGGGACCAGACGACAAGCTCCACGACAACCCCTTCATAGCCCAACCGTTTACCCTTTCCATGAGGCTGTGGATTTCGGAAACAAAAGTCTTGACACCGCCGGACCTTTTTCTGACCTTTGTCCCTATCTCCATCTAAATGATAACCCTGCCACAAGATGGCCGATCCTGCTCAATGCAACCCCGAGGCGCAATGTTGCCTGACTGATGGCGCAGACCACCAAGGAGGTGATGTGAACCCACACCACCTACACGACGCACCTGCGGATGTCGACTCCATTGACGAACAAACCACAACCACATCGACCTCTGGCGACGGTGAAGAGGTCCACGGCAATTGTGTCAGCCCTGATGACCCACCGCCACCTCTAGAATCATCCGGCAACTCTGCTTCCGTGGCTGGCGTTGCCTCCAGGCTGAATCTCTCTAGCCATGCGGCAAGCTCGTCTGGTCGAGCTTGGTCCATTTCCTCCAGGTAAGCGCGCTACTGGCTATGGTGATGGATGACATGATGAATGCTGATTGTCCTTTAGATTGACGCTGTCTGACAACGGGGACGACAGCACTGTTGGTGATCACGGTACCGACATCGTGATGCCGTTCCTGGACAGCGACAGAGAGAATCTACCCTCCCGATTTCTAAACCCGGCCTATGAGAGGACCACCGGAGAGAGTCAAAACCGAGTTGCGATCTTGTTGGCCGATGATGTTGCGGTACCCGGAATCATTCCACCACCGTACCTGTACCCGGCCGAGATCGCGCTGGAGGATCTGCTTTGACGACGGCATGCCTGAGTGGGATTCAGAGATGTATGGAGATGTGCGTTGTCGTTGGCGGAAACATTGGGACGATGTACGGAGAGCAGAAGACGAGCGAGAAGACCAGACACCAGCAGCTTCGATGCGCAGACAGATAAGCCACCAGTGGGGTACGGGCCTTCCTCCTCCGTCAACCAGATTATGTCCGGAGGCAGGAGTATATGGTAATAATTGGAATTCGAATTGGGCTTCCGGGGGAAAGAAGTTTAGAAAAATTTCAAAAAGCTTGTCGCCACTGCAGACCGCTTGTTCTAGGATGTTCCCTAACCCACGCAATCTTCAACACTATTGCCCCTTTGTTGCTTTTTCCTAGACCGCATACTTCTTTCAGCTTGTATGGATGCCATCAAGGGCAACATCAACCATCCGACATGGCGGTCCCCTCAACAAGTGCCAATATCATTGAGAGATGTCAGCCAGCTGACCAGTGCTTACGCCATCTACAGTCTTATATCGGAGACCTCTGGCATAATGATTGGGCCACGGTGACAAATCACCGTCCGACAACCAAAACCTCCATATGTTTGAGCCAGTCGGACGGCAACCTACATTGAACCCCGCCCCAGTGACCAGGAAACGCTATAGGGTATCCCGTCCCGCCGACCCAATCGTATACGTTCCTGCGTGCTCCTCCTGTTCTCTGCATGAGCCCTCGAGCTGATGGTCATTGTGCGATGAATTGCTTGGCAGAATTCGACATGATAGGGTATACCTAATCACCGACGTCCAACTCCACCAACCGGCCTTTTCATACGACAAAGGCGCTGAAACAGAGCTATATATGGGTCCCACAAGGGATGTTCCCGGCTCCGTTAGCCGGTCTCCGCCCGGGAGCAACCGAATTGAGATCGCCGTACGTTAATCGCCGGTAATCGCCCTAAAACCCCAGTCCCGACGACCCCTGGTGAAGATCATCAGCTTGGCAAACCGGGGAGGAATCCCCCAAGTGGAGAGCGGAGCACAGATGCAAGAGGATGCGTTGTGGGCACTCGGCCGGTGGTCCAAATGCATTTATGCGGTCTGTGAGGTAGTGCTTCATGCGTTGACACAACTTTCCAGATCCCCATCGAGACACGAAGACTGTTCTAGGTGTCCAGTGATACCAACAAGGCCTCAAAGAAGCAGCTTTGCTGACACCAGTACCGACCTCGCTTTCAAAGATGGCTCCAGCTTCCCTTGGGCTTAGTGACCTCTACCATCGCCTACAAACTACCAACAATGCGAAGCCCAGGATGATAATCACCAACGTTACCAAGTTTTGTGACAGGTTCTGGGCAACATAGGAGCCTTGCAGCCTACCTGAGAAGCAAGACAATGATCTGCGTCCAAGGCTTCGTAGCCCAGAGCTGTTTTCGGTCTCGTGCTGAAGGGATGGGGTCCCTGCGCTTCATATCCTTGCCTTTGCCTGTATGTCTGGATGCAAACTGACTAGCCCGCGAAACCGATGCATGGGATGGGAACGCCGATGATAGCCTGACGGGCGGGATCTCCGTTGTTTGCGAAGTTTGTGAGGTGAACCCAACGGCAGGGAAGAGCGAGGAAAAACGCTTACCAAAGTCTTTAGTTGCCAGTACATCAATGCGTCTGACCTTGCTCACCCTTTGAACTCTGAGATTTTGACCTGAATCCTGGGCTTCGAATTTCTGCCATGGACTCGATGAACAACCCTGCTCAATACCCGCTTCATGGACAACAGCCGGGTGACGATATCGATACACGAAGCCATGATACTTTGACCGCGCCCAGCCCTTTTAACAACCTCCTTCCCGGATCCATGGAACAAGAGGCCTATGGCTTGCCCGAAGTCGAATGCTCAGCACCCCCCTGGAGGGGATACCAGGAGCCTTATGGCTTGGACAACGATATTATCGAGGCACAGCCACTAGGAGTTACCGACCCTTGGCACCCCAGATATGCTTACCCCATATTCATGCGAACCATCGATGCAAATCAGCCAGGAACCGGCTCAGTTTTTGTCACCTGCCTCTAGTAATCCCGAAGTTGCACAGCATCAGTCCCTTGAACAGGGCCAAGATCAAGTGCTTCGATGGAAGCCACCGTCGACCCCCTGTTCGCCAGCGAGGAAGAAGAACAGCGTCTCGCGAACCCTTAGTCCGTCGTCGCCTCCAGAAGCAACCCCCGCCGAAACACAAGACCAACTAGAGAAAGCCCAGGCTCACCGCCGCAAAATCAAGACTCAATCAAGACTGAAGGCAAAAACAACTTGGCAAAATCTTGTGTTGGAATCCGCTGCTTTACAGATTCAGAATGCAGACCTTGCTGCCCAGTTCAGGTCGCTGGGGGAGCAGATTCTTGGGCTGAGGAACCAACTGTTGGTTCATGCGCACTGTGATGGGAGCATCGCCGAGTGTTTAACGCAAACTGCAGACAAGATGTGAGTTAAATGATCTTTTCTTAGACTATGGCCGGAGCTGCTCGAGATACTAACTTGAACGTGAACGTATGTAGAGTTGCAACGGCTGAACAGCAATTTCAGCACAGCAGGAGTTGTCAAACTTGTTCCGTCCCTACTGTATCGGCGGAGACGACCGCAGCGTTTGTTGCTAACGAGGAGGAAGCTTATCAGGACGAAGCTTGACGACCTTTTCGACGAAGCATGAGATTGCGATGATTTGGGGATATGTTTTCCACTACAATAATATACGAGGCGTTGGTTAGGGGTAGGTGTACTGGAAAGCTGGCTGCTAGGTCCAAATAAATGATATCCCCGAAAGCGATTGGAATGATAGAATGGTGTTTTTGGGAAACATGTTGAAGGCTTTTCTCGGGATTGGTTGCGTTTTGTTAGGGGTTCTTCGGTATAACACGCCTTGTTTGGGTTTTTCTCATTGGCTGTGAGCGCTTCGACGGCTCGAGTCTTGCGCTGGATCTTTCAAGATGATAAAACTTCTATAAACTCATGCAAAAATTTCTTGGACCACAGATTAACCATAACCTGAGGCATCTGCTCCGTTTGAAGGTGATATCCAATACATGATGGTATCACCAAGACAGAAGAGGCCGCCAAGGTATTTACAGCTGTGCAGCCCTGCAAAATGGTGGATTTCAAGTGGCTATTTAGCGCCTCGGTTCCATTTTTACCAAGCCCAGGTCCTCAGCCGGCCGCCGTGTGACTCAGCCCGGGGTATTGAGCAAACACTAAGCACCACTAAGAATTGTTGTTGATCTACGACGACGAGCCTGAAGAACTGGGCTGCGGCGCGTACTCCCTTGCCGTCAAGGGCATGATAAATGCGACGCAACTGTCAAACGCAGTTATAACTTGGCCTTCATCCCTTTTTAAAGCTGTGCCATACCGCCTCTTGTTTGATCCAAACGTGGTTGGTTTTCCGTTTGCCAATCGTCGAGGTCATATTTCGAAGAAAGCCAAGTTGCTCCTTCCTCTCCCTCTCTCTTGTCATCTCGCATATCTTCTAGCCCGGGTTGCTCTTGCTCATAACTTGTTATCGGAATTTAAACCGCCCCAACTGTTGCATTTGAAATCGATTTTTTTATTAAATAAGAAACAGGCAAATTCCCCCCACCAGGAGACAACAGCTGGCGTAAAAGCGGAAAGTCAGCAGAAGAGGTCACCTTCCTCCCCCCCCACCACCAAGTGAGCCTCTCAACCCCACTCACAACAACCACAACACTCAACACTCAACAACAACAACAATAATAACCACCACTGAATACGGCGTGTCGTCAACAACAGCAAATATGGAAAAGCAACGACCCGTTATCGAACTCGACGGGAGGACAGGTGAAGGAGGCGGCCAGCTGGTGCGCATAGCATGTGCACTCGCCGCCGTCGCCACCGTCCCAATCCGCATAACACATGTCCGTGGGAATCGTGAAGGCCCTCGGGGAGGTGCCAAAGGCGGAGGTTAGTTTCTTGTTTTCCTCCCCTCATCACTGCCCTTTGACTAACAAACTCCCCGTAGGTCTCAAATCCCAACACGTCACCGCCATCGAATATCTCGCCACAGCAACCAACGCCGAAGTCGACGGACTCTCCGTCGGCTCTCACACCCTCGATTTCCGCCCTCGCCTCAAGCCCTCCTCCCTCAAATCCCGCACCATCAAGATCGAAGCCGACTCCCCCGCCGCTTCGACCCTCCTCATCTTCCAGGCCATCTTTCCCTTCCTTCTATTTTCTGGCAGCAGCGACAAGGTCGACGAGCCAATAACGCTCGAGCTCTCGGGCGGAACCAACGTCTCCTTCTCCCTCAGCTACGAGTACCTCGACCAAGTCCTCTTACCAACCCTCGAAAACGCCTTTGGCATCGTCGTGCAGCGGAAGCTGATTTCCCGCGGGTGGAGTCTGGGTAAAGCATCACGGGGAAAGTGCTCGTTTCAGTTCAACCCTCTTAGGGCAGGGGAGACGTTAACGTTCAAGGACAATGGGTTGGGCGAGATTTACGGCGGTGGTCCGGGGGATGTCGATCTCGAAGCTATTAACGTGTCGATGATCGTCCCCTTTTCCATGCAAGAGTCCATGATGCAGGCACTCGTGACAGACTTGGAGGAGATGTTTCCTGATGTGGAGGTCAATTTCAAGGTGACGGAGGATTCGGGGCAGGACTCGAGGATATACGTCCTGCTGGTAGGAAGGTCGGGCGAACTAAGGTGGGGGAGGGATATGCTCACTTCGACGCCGAAGAAGACAAAGGCTAAGGGGTCGGCGATGAGCTCGGAGTCGTTGAGCCAGAGTTTGTCGAGGAAGTTGTGCAAGGAACTGTTTGACGAAGTTTCTGCGGGGGGCGTGGTGGATGAGTTTTTGCAGGACCAGCTGGCGATTTTCCAGGCTTTGGCTGAGGGAAAGACGTCGTTCCCGCGGACTCATGATGAGAATGGCGAGTTGGAGCAGGCCTTGAACAAGCTCAGCCTGGATGAGAAGTTACGGAAGGATAAGACTATCATTCCGTTTGGAGAGGGGAGTTTGCATGCCAAGACAGCCAGGTGGGTGACGGCGGAGCTGTTGCCTGAGGTCAAGTGGTACAACAAGGGGAGGATATGCCATGGTGTTGGTATGCAGATGGAGAAGATGTCAACGCGGTAAAGAGGCATACCTGAATGCACTGTTGTCGTGGCCATTTGTGGTGGCTATAAGGTAGCGGTAGTAGCAGTGGAACAACCACATTGGTTTGAACCAGCATTGGCTTTTTGGGGAATCTCCTGGTCTGGGAATTAGTTATTTGACACCACACAGATACTAATCTGAACGAAATCTCTTGGCATCTGTGATGTCTCAAGAAGGATTTCGAGGTTTCTCTGAAACTGATTAGTGCCGAGGCGCATGTGTTGGAAGTAAAGCCGTCATTCAATGGTGATTGATGGATCATCTAGGTTGGGTTCACAGGCTATATTGGCTTTTACTTTACTGTGTTCAAGGCCTGTGCCGTTCATAGGCCTCGGCCTCCTTTTGCTGTCTCTCCACGAGCTCGAGGACCTCTTGGCTGTAGAGGTCCTCGAGAGACTTGTCGCCCAAAAGCACCTCTTTCTGATGCCTGACAGCCTCCTCCTTGGTCATGCAGACCAAGTCACGGAGCCTGAGGTTGGAAGACTTTTGCTCGTCTTTGCCCTCGCCGATGCGGACGAGGGTGGTGGTGGCGGGCTTCCTCCACCGGATGAGCATGAGCTTTGTGGGGACGCCGGTCACGGCACTTCTGCCTCTGAAGGCCTCTTCGATCAAGAAGGCGATGTCTCCGGGTGTGATGGGCACCTTGAGACCGACGCAGACGTCGGTGCGGCCTCCTTCGATCATGCGCACCACCTTCTCCTCGCTGGCCTGGACGTAGGCGAGGATGGCCTCGTACATCTTGTCGCGAGCCTTGGCGGGTTGGTAGTCCATTGGGTAGCCTGAGCGGTTGTTAGCGTGTGTCGGCTTCAGCGAGGGGTAGAGACAGTGAAAATCAGCTTACCGGTGATCTTCAAAATGACATGATTCGCAGCCACATATCCAAAAACCGCCGGCATAGTTCCCAACACGGGCAGAATCCTCACCCTAAAATCCGGCAGCGCACCTAAATCCCCGACATCCCCCTTCTTGAACTCCTCCTCCGACAGCGGCAAAAGCGCCGCCTTGCCCTCGCCCATCTTCTCGGTCGAGTACACCACTGGAATCCCGCTCGTGACCCCCAAAAGCTTCAGCTTCCTCCTCGTCGCCCTGGAAAGCCCATCCTCGAAACTCGCCCCGATATCTCCCACCATCACCCTGGTGGGATCGCTCTTCGTGCCCGCCCCCATGGCCGAAATCACAGGCAGCCCATTGTCGTGACAGTACTTGAGCAGCTCGACCTTGCTCTCAATGTTGTCAATTGCATCAATCACAAAATCCGGCCTCTGCCCGCCTTCCCAATCCCCGAGTAGATCACCCGCCACCGACCCATCAAACTTTTGAAGCCTCAGATCAAACTTTGTCCACGGTGTTATGGCGCACAACCTACGCTGGAGACACTGGACCTTGGGGAGACCGACGTCTGCGAGGGTGGCGACGGCGTGACGGTTGAGAGAGGAGAGGGTGACTTGGTCAAAGTCGATGAGGCGGATTTTGCTCACGCCGGAGCGGGAGAGGGCGGCGCAGGCGTGGGAGCCGACGCCGCCGCAGCCGACGATGATCACGAAGGCATTGCGGAGTTTGGAGAGGCCTTGGTCGGAGAGGAAGACGCGGTTGCGGGCGAGCTGCTCGAGGATGAGCTCGTCGTCGAAGTCGCCTGCTTGGGCGCGCTGGGCGAGGAGGAAGTTGTGTTCGTCTTCTTTGTCGGGTTTGGGGAGGGGGCCGACGCGGGTGAGCTAGGGGGAGGGGGATGTTAGCGGTTTTTGGGTGTGGGAGGGGGGAGGGGGGTTTACTTTTTGGACGCCGGATTCGTCGTCGCCTGGGTTGGGGATGGACTGCTTTAAGCGGTTGAGCCGTGAGTCTTTTTGGAGTCGTTGGTAGCTAAGGATTGCGCCGGCGGCGACGGCTGCGGAGACGACGGCTGTTGCGGCTAGTTGCACCTTGTTGTTGCTGGTGAGGGATGACATTGTGGATGTGGGAGAAGAGTAATTTGATGGGGTATCACGTTGGTTAGGTGTTCACTGCATCATTTCCTCGTATATATGGTAGAAAGCGAGACAAAGGTGCGCAGCGCTTGGATATTGGCCCGAAATACTTTGGTATGCTGTCGCAAAACTCGACTTTTTGGCCGCAAAAAAGTGATCCAAACTTTCTCCAGTTGGGTTTCGTCATTGGCGTTGAGACAGGGGTCTAAGCCTTAGTTTTAGTTGCCTGCCGGATGTCTGTGAGCTGATAGCCAAGTGACACTATCCCTACCTGGGTTAGAGGCAATCTTAAGCTCCGGCATTCTGGCCCCCTGTTGACGCCGTTGGTGTTGGTGTTCTTTCCAACGTTCAACTGCATTCTTTCACAGTTGATCAAAACCTCAATAAACTCACTCTGAACTTTTTTTTTGCCTCGGATTTCGCGGTTGCGATGTTTAGAATCCTGGACCCGAACACGATATGAGGCTTCTCGCATTCGGGATTTGAACCCCTACAAGAGACAACACAGTTTTTACAAGGGTCTTCTTGCTCGCAATCGCATTGGGGTTCGCCTCATGTGGAGCGATGGAACCTCCAGAACTGACCTCCAACATGGAACCCCGCGTTGCCGTTCACCGCAGACGATTCAAAGCCAACGATTACTGTTGGCTGTCACATGCAGCTCTAGATCCAACCGTCTCAAGAAACTGAACAGACTACAATCGTGCATATGCAGGAGAGAGCTTCTGAAGCTTCGGCCACCAATCGACTCGGGGAGGTATGCTTGAGGGTCAGTTCATCAGTGATAGGGTCCAATTGGAGAGCCTCCATAACCATGCCTATCCCCGCAAATGCAACCCAGCATGCGATGAAGAGGGGTCATGGTGGACCAGATTCCCCTGAGCAAAGTCAGCTGAGCTCAGGGGCTGTTCTACATACATATAAGAAGGGACCTATCTTGCTGTGCCAGTTCATATTTCGCAGGTAGATTTTACCAGATAATAATTGCATCACTATCCTCAACCTCACCCAACAAAATGGCCAAGACAGTCCTCATCACCGGTGCCGCTGGCGGTCTCGGAAAGGCAATCGCCGATGCTTTCCTCGCCGGCGGTGCCAATGTTGCCGTGTGCGACGTCAACCCTCAACGAATCACGGCTGTCGAAGAGGAATGGACCAAGTCCTATGACGGCAAATTCCTCGCTCAACAAGCCGACGTAACAGACGAGGCCGCTGTCCAAAGTCTTGTCGATGCCACTGTCTCCAAATTCGGCCGCCTGGACGTTTTAATCAACAACGCCGGCGTCATGGATGACTTCTCCCCTGTTGGCGCATGCTCCAAGGAGACATGGGACCGTGTCCTCAACATCAACCTCAACGGGCCATACACCACCTCCAAGGTCGCCATCGCCCAGTTCGAGAAGCAAGATCCCGTCGGTGGCATCATCATCAACATGGGCTCCAACGCCAGCATCCATGGATTCAAGGCCGGAGCGGCTTACACAGTATCCAAGGCTGGTGTCATGGCGTTGACCAAGAACACGGCCGGCTTCTACGGGCCAAAGGGTATCTACAGCATCGCATTACTTCTGGGGGGCATGAACACCAACATTACCGATGCCTTCGCCAAGGGCATGCACATGGAGGCGTTCCAAGCCATCTCTGCTTCTCAGTCGCCTGCGGGTCTCGAGAAAATGGTGCCTATTGAGAGCGTGGCCAAGTATTGCGTGTTTTTGTCGGAGAAGGATATTGCGACGAGCGCAAATGGGTCTTGCGTTGTGTTTAACAACAACTGGCCTGAGGCGTAAATGCGGGGTGCAAGGGAGTGCTGTGAGGAAAAGGGGCAAAGTAAACAAAGCGTGTAATTAGATGATACCTTGTTGATAGCACATGAATGACATGAGCATTATGACACAATTTTCAAACTGGGAGACGGATTGCATGAAGGAGTTTATCAGTGTTTCTCAATGAACAATCCTGTCTTTATGGAGTTTTTGTTTTTACTGATTCCACACGAGAAACGACTGTTCATGGTGTAGTGAAGGGAGCCCCTGTCCACCTTGTGTCACCTTCATTCCAGCACATAACGAATGTGGATCAAGGGAAAGCTAAAGTTGTTATAAGGATACCGTTTGTCATTTCCATCATCGGTAAGGGGTGCTAACCAAGGCAGACTAACCTACAAAAACGAGAAGACTCAGCATTCCAACAAAAGAAAAGTACAAATCAGGTGGGTTTACAACAGGGAGCCCGGCAAGAAAACAAGTGTGAGTGCACTGAGACATATCAGAGAAACCCCTGATTCCATCCACCCGTTTCCTTCATACGCTCATAGATTGTCGTAAAATCCAGCCCGTCAAAGTTGTCGGTATTGTCCCAAAGAGAACTTTGTCTGAATGCCGACTGTGAATACCAATGAAGGCATTTACAAGTAAGAGTAAGGCAAGCAGTAAGGGCTCTTGTTGGCCAAGTTGAACTTGCACCTCTCCCTCTTGCCGCAGGAGCCGCCATACTGTTATCGTAATGTCAGCCATGCTCCATCGCTATTATCGTTGTTATGAGTAAACTTACCACCCACTCCCCCAAAACGTTGCACACCTTCCATCCGCTCCCCTTCCTCTCGGACCCCTCGCAGGCGTAGCTGCCAGGCTTGCACTTGAACCCCTGGGGGAGAGGGGAGGGCTTGTTGCTGTTGCCCTTGCCCCAGCCCTTGCCCTTGCCCTTGCCGAAGGGGACGATCTCAATGGTGGGGTCGATGATGGAGATCTCGACAATGTCCTGGCCCTTGCCGCCCTTGCCCTTGCCGACGACGAGGGGGGAGACCTCCTCGAGGGTCCAGTCGAGGTTCTCCCAGTCGGGCCACTCGGGCCAGTCAGCCTGGGCGGCGGCCATCTCTTGGGTGGCGGCCATCTCGGCGACGGCGACGGAGAGGGTGGCGGCGAGGGCGGCGGCGAGGGAGGTGACCTTCATATTGAAGAGAGCTAAAGGATTGGGTTGTTGAGGGAATGCGTTTAGGCTGGTTGGCTTTGGAAGGAATGAGCTGATGACCGAGGTGATGATGAGGATGGTGGTGAGGAAAAGAAAATGAGGTGCTCAACGGGAGAGATGGCGAGTATTTTATAACTTTTAGGTCCCTATAGTTCTCACATGCACAGAACATTCTTTTTTTTTGTTTTCTTTTCTTTGCTCGTCATAACAAACAACAGAGCAATCTGAGGTAGCGGTGTTGGTGCCATGGCAGAGGAGGAATGTCAAGAATGCTCGTTCCTGGCTGGATGTCTCGCTTACCCCTGAATCTCCCCAACAACCTTGGCTGGCCGACCACTACCGACAATTCTATTGCGTTCCTGACTGAATCACTTTTACATCATTCAGATCTAATCGTCAGGTAGAGATCCTCGTGCAAGAGGCTGTATCTAGCTGGTAAACGTGAAAGACAACAGCTGAACGGGACAAAAGGCCCGATTTACCCAGATTTTTCAGCATTGAGTTCTCAAGTGATTAAGTCATGAGTGTATTTCCAAAACATGGCGGGCATCATGTCCCGATACGAGCTACTAGCCGAGTTCAAAAGTCTAGATCTCGCTGGGCGGGTTGTGCTCCGAAACGCCATCCATGCCAGATCGGATCGCCGGGACATCCCATTCTTCCCCGCCCATCATTGTTGTTGCTTCCTCTCCTCCGCCTCCAGCAACCACCTCTTCGCCATATCCCTCAACTTGAACTTCTGAATCTTCCCACTCGCTGTCTTGGGGTACTCCCTCACAAACCAAACATGCTTCGGCACCAAATGCGCGCTCAGCCGACTCCTCACCCACTCCCTCACCATTTCCGCAGTCAACACCTTCTTGCCCTCCTCTCCAACATCCTTATCACTCTCCATCCCTTCCATCTCCACCCCGACCCCCTCATGCGCAATCACAAACGCGCCCACGCTCTCCCCGTGCCTGTCACACGGCACCCCAACCACGCTTACCTCGGCCACGTACTCATGCTGAAACAAACAGTTCTCAATCTCCAGCGGATGGATATTCTCCCCTCCCCTGATGATCAAATCCTTGATCCTCCCTGTGATAGCCACATAGCCCTCCTCATCCATACTCGCCTCATCCCCGCTGTACATCCAGACCCTCTCCTGTCCATCCTCATCCCGTTCCGCCACCCTCACCTCGTTCGTCCTCCCCTCGTCCCCCCAGTACCCCTTCATAACCAAATACCCCGCCGCCGCCAACTCCCCCTTCTCCCCAATCGGCAATATCCTCCCCTTATTCTCCGGGTCAACAATCTTGACCGTCGTATGCGGCATCACCCTGCCCACCGTGCTCGTCCTCTTCTCGAACGGATCATCAGGTGTAGTCATGCAGCTCACCGGGCTCGTCTCCGTCATCCCATAGCAAATCACCAGGTCCTCCAACCCAAAAGTGGCGTAAATCTTGTACATCAAACTCTGCGGCACCGAACTCCCCGCCGCGATCCCCTTTTTCAGCAACGGGAACGCCTTCTCGCCCTCTTGTAAGTTCTCGTAGACGGGCCGTAGATAATTCTTTCGATGTTTCGGGTTGGCGAGCTCCTCAAACATGGACACAAACATTGTTGCCACCCCGTACAGACCCGTGGCTTTTTCCTTGTGGGCCATAACGATCGTGGCGGCTGGGTCAAAGGCCGGGGAGGGGAACATGATTTCTGCTCCCGTGGTCGCGCAGGCCATGTACCCCAGGATGCAGCCAAAGCAGTGGAACAAGGGAGGGGGGCAGATGATTCGATCCGAGGGGTCGAGACCCATGCGCTGGGCGATGAGGTGGCCGTTGTTGAGGATGTTTTCGTGGGTGAGCATCGCTGCTTTGGGGTGGGAGGTGGTGCCCGAGGTGAATTGGATGTTGATTGTTTCTGACGGGGAAAGGGGGGAGTCGGGGATGATGGGGTCGATGTGTTTCGCGTCGTGGAGCCATATGGTGTCGAAGGCGGTGAGGGATGGGTACTCCGAGATCTTTGGGGGGCTGGGGAAGTGTGTTTTTGAGTTGTCCACGACGATTACTTTTTCGAGGCTTTTCACTGTTGGGCTTTTGATGGTGCCTGTGGTGAGGTCTGGGACGATGGTCTTGAGTAAGGGTATGTTACTTCTTCCTTGGCCGGGCTTGTATGCGAGGTCTGTCATGGCGTTGATGATGAGGAGTTTGACCTCGAGATGGTTTAGGGCGGCTGTGACTTGCTCGGCGTTGAACTGAGGGTTCAGCGGGACGAGAATAGCGCCTAATTTGTAGACTGCATAGGTGAGGGCAGCAAACTCCCAGCAGTTTCCCAGGCTGACAGCAACTCTGTCGCCTTTCTGGACTCCTTGCGCTCGCAACGAATGTGCGAGGATGTTGGAGATGGAGTCAAGTTCTCGGTAGGTGAGGGTGCGCGGGTTCCAGTGGACTTCATAGCCCAGCAAGGACTTGTTCACGTTGCGAATGGCAGGCACACTGGTCACTGCCCTGTGGTCGGCGTATTTCTCCGCCATGGTATGAAAGTGTTCGGGGATGGTCATTCCCAGTAATGGAACCTGATCGTGAGATCTCGGATTAGCAGACGGAGCATCTTGGTCAAGGGAAACGCGACTTACATGACGATGCCCTTCACTAATGCTCCTTGTCAAACCACTGCTTCTCCGCACACCCAACTTTCCAACGCCTAGCCATCTCGTCTTGATGCGACTGCAAGGCAGGCTCGCACGCCTTCGCAGCAGCACCAGAGCCGTTTGAGTCTCTGGCACCAACTGGAATCTCATCGCGCTCTCTCCCACAGAATCCGGCTGAGGCAATAGAAGAGCCAGAAAGTCAAATATTTGGTAAAATAAAGTATATTTGCTTCGGTGATTCAACCAAGTACTCGAAAGTGTGCTCAAGGAGGTCTGTAACAAAGCAAGTTGCAAGAACACACCCACCCCCCCTCACGACCCGAAGCCATGGTGTTCTCTTTTGCCTCGGGGTAGGTAGACAGACGAGCTGCCGATCACCAAGGCCTGTCTGGGAAGGTAACCAAGATTCCCCCTCACTCACCCTGCCCGTTGGACGTCCCCCCTGGAAATGCGGGGTACAGTCGCCTCATCGATCACCCCACCCGTGCCACCCCAACCAGCCGCTTCCAGTTGTTTGTTGAATGGGATGGAGGGTATGGGATCCAAGCGATGGTGTATACCCTGACAATCAGTTGCCTCTGGTTATCTTGATGCGACGGGTTTGGGGATACCGTCCAGATGGAAAGCGGCGCTTAAAATGGGGGTTTCTTCCTGTTGGTAATGAGGAAGATAGATAGATAACGAGCTCCACACTGGGGATTTACACACCCTTTGACTGCTATTCACCAAGGTTCTTTGATAGTCTCTACCTTGTCAATTCTCCCTCCCAGACTCTCACTTTACATTTGCTTTCAATATCATTTTCCCAAGTCTTCCTCAGTCTCGCAACATGTCCACCACCACATCTAACAACCCCAACCCAAACCCCAACACCCCCGCAGCGCCTAGTGGGCCCGGCTCCACCAAAATCGCGGGGAGGCTGGAGTTGCTGTCCCGGCAGAACCGCTACCAACCGCCGCTATCGTCATCATCATCAGCCCGCTCCTCCCCCTTCCCAACCCACCTCGGCCTCTTCGCCTACGGCACATTAACCATCGATGCGGTGATGCACGCCCTGCTAGACCGGGTGCCGCCGTCAACGCTGACTTCAGCGCCCGGGTGGAGAGCAGCTGGCTTGCCGGATTTACCGTACTTCTTCCCCCTTGTCTTCCCCTGAGTTGAGGGTTGTGTCCTAACAAAGAGACAGATACCCAGGGCTTGTCACCGACCCGACAAGTGTGGCACCAGGGAGGGCCTACAACGACCTCACAGAGCGAGAATGGGCCATTTTGGACTCTTTTGAGAATCCAAAGTACGACGTCGCGCGGGTCACTCTTGCCAGTGGCGCTGAAGCGCTGGCCTATATCTGGCCTGCTGATCCCCCTGCGCTGACGACCACTTGGACGGTTGACTTCATCGATACTGAAGGCATGGAAGACTACCTAGCCATGTGTGTGGAATTCAGGCAGGACTGGGAGGAGAGCCAGAGGTCAAAGACTTCCTGATCCTGTCAGAGTTAGATGTTCAACAACGCTATCACCAGCGGTCTATTGCGTCTCCATCGTCTAGATCGCTAGACAGATAAGAGACAGGTTAGCCCAAAAGAGCCCCCTGTTTAACCTGGCGGTGTACGCCTTCCTCCCCCTTCCAAAATGGGCCACGGTAGACTGCAAGTCTAACCGTCGGATTCCATGAGTGTTATGTACATCCCTTTTGCGTACAGCATATGTCGCGTTCGTCCACCCCCGTAGCCTTTTGTACACTCTATCCCCGCCCATCTTCCTTGAAATTTCAAGACCCCAGAACTAAGCTGGGTATGCAGCGTAGAAACACAAACGCCAACCCATGCAGTAAAGTAGATTAAAAAGGAATTATGTCTCGTTCCAAGAAAAGTGAAGTTCATAATGATGCTGTGCACGATGGATGCAGCTATCATTGCTCGCCAATGTGACGCTCGCTCTCAGGTTTCCATGTGCCTGTGACATCATTTGTTAGCTTCAGCCAAGACTTTGTTGAGGTTGCTGGAAAACATGACATACCCTCGAAATCGTGCTTCACAAACGCCATAGGATCGTCGTAATCTTTGGCCCCCATCTGTTGTACACCTGGTGAGAAGCTGGTGATGGGGAGCACGATGACATCTCCCACACGTCTTGCCGTCTCCATGCCAGTAAAATTCTTCCAGTCAATCAGGCCGACCGAATTCTCCATGTCGAAGTACCGCTCATCGTTGAAGTACCCGAAGATAATATCCGTCCAAAGGGCTGGGCCAGTAAATTCAATAACATCCTTGTCGACAACATCCTTGAGCGAACCGGCTCTCTTCCTCTTCAGGACCTGTTCGGTAATGCGGGACACCACTTCTCTCAGCACAGGGTGACCGGGCTTGCTCTGGATGGTCCACTGGCAAAACTGAATTCTTCGGCTGTACCAATCCTTCCAATCCGGGCGATCCGGATCCGCCTCGATTCCAATAACCAATCCGATCTGGTCGCGCGGGACTGATTCAGGGACCCACTCGAGCGCGCTGCGGATTGCATACGTGTCGATGTCGGAATAGATACCTCCTCTGGCGAGCAGGATCAAGTAGCGGAAGAAATCGGCCTTGAGCACAGGAAGAGGAAGCGCCTCATACGCCTCCAGAACCTCGGGAACTGATCCGTAGAGGAGACGGAGCAGGTGCACAGCAACCTGATCGGTGATGACCTCGTGGATAAACCCTGGGTGCTGCTCCGTCCATGTCGCCTCCTGCTCGCGAAAGGTAAACTCTCCGTGCGCTGGTGTCCATTTCCACGTTTGCCAAATGTAAGCTGGGAATTTCGTCTCGACATCGTAGGGAAACTGGTAGGCGAGCTTCTCGTAAAGCGTCATTCTTGACATATCCTTCATCGGCTTCTGCTTCGGCGGGCCGCCCTGATGTCCGCCATTTTGTACCACCTGGTCGTCGGCAGCTTTCTGCCTAGAAGACGCCGTTGTTTGCGATTTCTGCCTCGCGGCCTCTGCTCCGGGCTGTACTTTTGGATACTCGACAGCTGCCGCCGAGGCAGCCGGTGATGACGATCGTGTTGTGAGGAAGAGGACAGCGATGAAAAACACCGCGGCCACGAGGGCGCGGCGGAAGGTGAGCATGATGTCGAAACTGTCAAATCTAGCATCGCGTCAAACGAAAAACGTCAGTGTTGCTGTTCTCTCCGCATGGTGACATCAGTCTTCTTAGTGCAAACAGTTGTGCCTGCGTGGTGCTAAATAAAAGCTGCATCGGCGCCCGGTACATACCAAGTAGGTTGGAAAAATTAGACCATTGGGAGAGCTAGGGAATGGGCCAAAAATGAAGGGTCCTTCACAGAAACAACAAGTACACAATGAAGAAAGGGAAAACAGGAAGGGAGCATAAAAGAGCGTGAAATACGAAGAAGGATGGCGTGGAGGAGTGTCGGTAAATGTTGTGAGTGTGGATTAGAATCCAAAGCCCCCTTTACTTTTTGAATTGAGTGGACAAGCTCGACGGCGTGACAGGGGTTTTTAGGCGGGGGTGGGAAAGTACGTGGGGCCGTTGATCATACCTCACAGGCTTGGTTTTCCACGTTTGCAACCAAAGGGAGCTGGCCAACCATGGACTTTTGAGAAATGCAGTTGATGGCGATCGGTGCCAAGAAGATGCTGTGCCCGCGAGTATTGGGAGAGGATCACTGGGGATCTGTCACTCGATACTAAATCTGGCCTGTAGGCTGGTTTCAAGATTCCTCATCCGGGCCTCAAGGGCGCACGGCGGCGGTCCACGGGCGGGAGTGCGAAGCAGGGCAGGCAGAGCGGCGACCGTTGACAGGCGGCCGGGCGCTGGCGGGATATCTGCCCCGAAACCAGTGTACAGGCTGGACCCTGAAAACCGGCAACGCGAACGGACGGCCGAATGAACAAAGCTGATCCGCCTGGTCTCTGCTTGATGTTCGCACGGAGGAAGTGGGATGAAAAGTTGAACTTGTTCCTTTCCAGGTTGCCTTTCTCAAACCTGGAACAGGCAGGGTGATGACGTGTAGGGTTGCTCTTGTTCGTTGCTTCAACTTGAGACACAAACTGGACGAGCTTTTTTTGGTATCCCGCGACAGAGACCGTGCCGATGGCGGGTGGTCAGCAAGGTGGTTTGAATGCTTCGGCCACCATGATCAGAAAACACCCTCTCAAAACCTTTCAGTTAGTCGGAGAATCGTGGTCTCTTCTTACGACCGGTCCCCAAATTTCATCAAAGAACAACAACTTCGACGAAGCCGGCCCATCCGGCCCCGCCGGTCAGCCCCAGTTATCTCAAGCGAGTGATGACGAAGTTCAGCAGAGTTGCAGGCCTGCAACATGCACAACTCATGCTGTGACACACGGAGCACTGCCGAATTGGAGGTTTGACCCGGGCACGGCTTCTGCTCAGATCCTCCCCGGTTTCTGGAAAACTGTTTGGCCATCCTCCTCTTGAAGAGTGATGCTGCTCAGCACCACTTCCTCTGGCTGTCAAGATTCGGCAGGCAGATTGAGCCAAGACTCAACGGCGCCGACAATTTGGGTGCCCATTTCGGCAATCTCTTTGATGATCGCACCACGCTTGCGCAATCAAGTGTGGGTGGGTCCTCTGAACTTGAAACAAGTGACACTCCAAGACCTGCTGGAGTTGGCAGCATGCCAAGCACTTGCTAAGCCTCTTCCCGAGAGAGCATTATTCTGATGTCTTCCACAGCTTCAGCAGTGAACGACAGGTTTGCTGTCAGAGACATTCCCATTTCGAAATCCCAAACGGCCGGTCGCCATGGAGTTGGACAAGTTCCTCGTGTCCAACAGTTCCAGGTTTCGGTCTCAAGATAGGGTCAAACTCAGACAAACAGTTGACCTGCCCGGTGTTTGGCCGACACATGACCTTTCCGCACACATTGGAAACGGCCGGTATTATTTCATCGTTTTCCTACATTGTTGTCTTTTTGGCCATACCCTACACAAGAAGTAACGGAGCACATGGGCAGATGAGTATGTAGAGGGGAGGGCGTTCTTTATTTGTCTTGTAGAACGGCGATCACGGGTGCTTGCCGAGGAGAGCGTGGCATTGCGTGCATGCAAGCAAGATCCAATATCAGATCTTAGGGTCATGTTTCAAGGAAGCGAGCCACACCGACTCAGAGGCCTTCTTCCTACCGGACCGACTTCTCATCACTGAGTTAACCACGCTGCTTCATGCTCCAACAACTACAACTCTAAAGATGTTGCGAGGTCGAGAATTAGCAATCCGATGGGGGGTTTATACTGTTGGGCATGTGGCCCGTGCTGCCACAGACAACAGCAACCCTTCAACTTTTGTCAAGGTTGGTCATAATTGATGTCAACGGAAGGTACATACTTGCCACCTCAAGGCACTGTGCTAGAGTACGCTTGCCCGGACAGAGGCCTACCTAGTGGAAGGCGATTGGATGGTTGGTGTTGCTTCCGTCTCTGTCATCCTGTAAGGACTCGGAGCTTCAACGGAAGGCGCGTGGCCAAGGGACAGACGTCAAAAGCACTTCTCCAGTTGCCGTCATTGGCCTCGGGCTGCTTGATGACAGTGCTGTGCTGGCAAAGAGACGGCAGAAGGGACCGTTGATGAGACGCTTTGCAGGCAGCCCGGGTTGTATTGCTCCATCTTTCTACGCTGTTTTCTCTTCTGCTGCTTGCACTCCGAAGCATGTAAACTCAACTTTCTACTGCGGAGTTCCTTCCTCGTTGTATGATTCCGCACGCAGGTATGAGGTGAGTCGAAGCTGCCCCTTTTCAGTCCTTGAAAATGAACATTACCTGCCTGACAAGTCTTCGCTACTGCTTTGACAGTCCTCGGGTTCCTTCCTCGTCACATCCAGCATAGCAATCTGGTGGCAGCAGTTCGCGAAGGAGTGTCACTTGCCAAATGGCCGCACTTCATTCAATCCAACTTGGCATGGCTGATGTGTCTCTCTATTTACTTTGCGTGTTTAGAGGTGGTTGGGCAACGAAAGTGCATCTTGTCCCAAGGCGCATGGAGTTGCACTCTGCCCCTGAATGCTATCTTCGACTAGCTGTCAAGACAACCCGACAACTGAAACCCGCATCTGGTTGCCTTAAATTTTGCATATCTCGGGCAAGAATGAGTGTTGTCGGAGGACACCTTAAACTAATACATGCATTGAGCCTGCAGATCCGCCTTGGACTGCAACTTTGTTGGCAGTCTTGCCAAGATTAGCCCAAAACAGCACCCTACATATTCCCACGTTTCACGGCTCTCTATCTCCTATTCACTACCGGTTTCTCACTCCACCGAGCCGAACGGCCCCCAGCCTTACAAAATAGCAGGGTTAGATTACCGCGTTCATCATGATTGGAGGATGCACACAGCACTTGATGCAGCTTAATTCGTGGCTTGTGCAGCTTTGGGAGCCCCCATTGGCAGTCTTCACTCCCGAGATCACAATTTGAGCTCGTCAGTCCCCTATCGCATCTTGATACCCGAAAATATCGGGGAGGAAAAGCAATGATACCGGCCCGCCCCGCACAATGCAATGTTCTCCTACCCAAGCTGAAGGCTCTACATCACATCACTTACATTAGCGCAACTCACAGTAAGGGCGGAAACACGCAGTATTCTATCCATCTCAACCCAGCCATCACCTTCGCGGGGCGGGCTTAGAAGTGCCGCTCCGATAAGTCACCGCCAATGCCACCCACGTTGTCTTCTTCTGCCCTCAGGAGACGGGAAGGCGACCACATTCACACCATGCTACCTTCCTCCACAAGCCGCTATCACATCCTTAGGTAGATTGATTCATGACTGATCGCCAAAGTGCAATTGGCTGCCTTGTCTTGAAGTTGCTTGTCTAGACGCCCATCACTGCCGCCAAGTATGCCTTCTTGCCCGATCGATAGATTGCGGCGAGATGCGCGATAACTGTTACGAAGTCATGGCGGTAACTGACACGGAATCTCTCCCGAGGCCAACAGGTAAAAGCAGCAAGACCTCTCCGAGGCTTCAACTATTTGGAAACATGGCATTAAGGCGGATACAATAAGATTAGACGAAGGTGCCTTGATGACCTAATCTAAAACCTTTGACTGAGCCTGTCGTGCCTCAAAGATATCATCAGCTTCAAGGCGTATAGCAATGATCAACATCCAAACAGGCTCGGCCAGTTTACTCTGTCTTGGTGAGACCTTCGCCTCCAACAAGGCAATCCGAACCGCCTTCGCCTACTCATTCTATTTGCCTTCCTCCCTTCATCAGCAAGGCAGTCGCATTCCCACCTTACCTGATTAAACACACCAAAACCCGCCCTCAACAACGAATTGCAGCCCGAATGGTCGCCTTCTCCATCTGCAACGGCAACACTAATGCCGTGTCCTCGCTCCCATGCACCACACTCTAGCAGTGCAACGCCCGGGAGCTTTTATCCCAGCGGATAGCTACTCGAACTCCCGTGACTGATCGCTGTCAAAAGTAACCTGGTCCTTGTTCTCTTAGCACCATGTAGTGACACCCTCCAACTTCAAACATTCAATCTTCGACCTTCAAGCCGTCAGGTTTGAACGACTCGCTTGCTCCATTGGAGCCATGTTACCTGATGGATCACAATCATACTATCCACCAAAATAAATCTCGGTAGTTCAGAACCACCTCAAAACATATGAGCGATATTTCCTCCATCATACGGCCCTTTTGTAGTTGTATAGGTCCCACCCCATAAGGCGTCGAAAGCAACACCGAGGGTGGCAATGAAAGAAAAACGAACAAGGCCTGAGGTAACATCGCTCAAGATCCCAAAACTCACCTGTCATATCGAATCAAACGGTCATAAGATCCCCTCGCAAGCGAGTTGATGGGCAGTTACCCAACGCCAAGCGCGGGAAGGATTCGCATCTTTCCATGGCCCTGGGACACCTAGAACAAATTAGAATTCTGACACAACATGTCAAGAATCGTTGAAGCAGCGATGGAGGGCAACTAATCTCACAATCGCCTTGTCGACTCCGAGTAAGCAAAACTGACAGATAAGACTAACCGAGAGAAACCGACCAAACCTGACGCAACCCTTTCCACCTGCAGTGAAGCCCAAGTTGATGCCCGAAAACCCAGGCAGGGAACAAATGTCCCA